ATGAGAAAGCCAACATAATGGGTTTGCAACCAGCATGAATCCAGACCAGCCTGCGCATCCACGCAGTCTGATCAGGATCCATGCTGTTCGCTTACCAACCCTATTATAAGTAGAGAAACTGATAGCGAACAGCATGGATCCTGATCAGACTGCTTGGATGCGCAGGCTGGTCTTGATCAATGCTGGTCGCAAACGCACTGTTGGTTTATCATAGGCGGCTCAAATACTGTATATATTCAGCAGAATACAGGGTTTAACAAACAACTTGCAATACTCGTATTTTGTAATTCAGAACTAGGTGTTTCCAAGCTAATACCCCTGGTGCAAACTAACCTTTACCGTTATAGTACAATACAGTTCACAATAAATCTATCACCATGTAGTGATTATCATTGAAGCTGTAACTGTAAAAATTTGCTTGTATCACCTAATAAGGTGGGAAAACCCAAAATGTGTTTAATTCGGGAGCAAGTCTATTGGTAACAAACCTTATAAATCATGGCTGATTAGCATTCGAGGGTTAAGTGCAAAAGGGTGTTAACTTATTTTACAGATGGAGTTACAACCTTTTTGCACCAAGCAGTCTTTTTTAGAATGCCAAATCTCAACATGATCATGTACTTATTGCGACCACTGCCCGAGTCCAGGGTTATAAACAATTCAGAAGCTCAAACCGAATCTCAGAGATTTGATTGGTCAGAAACTAACAGACAATGTATATTAAACCAATGAAAATCGAGATAGAACTTGGAAAAAAAAGTTTTATAATCTTGAGACACAAAGGTATACACTAGACAATGAAGAAACACTTCTATGTGTAATAAAGGGATGAATCTTGGTAATATATCCCTATCAAATGAAATGTAATCAAAATAATATAGACATTAAAGCGAAGATTTTTTTTTTTTTAAATACAAGACTTCAAGAAAAATAAATGAAGATGAAGGACAGGACATTGAAATTACACACCCATGAAGAAAGGGTCATACTACCAGATGCCCAATGGACAAGTCTGTAAAACGTTCAAAAAATGGATAAGTGGAAAATTTAAGATCATCAAATATCATATTGTTTTAATTACATGTACCAAACCTTAAATTATTTGACAATTGTTACATCAAAATTGAATTTTGAAAACAGTCCCTGAGAAATTTAAGGGATGTCCGTAGCAAAATACAAAAATTGAGTTTACCCACAGTATATAGCCTAGGTAAGACTGAGCGGATGTCTGAGCTGGCCTGGCTCTATATTGATAGCGAGGGCTAACCATTTCCGGTTACAGCAGGTTAACGGACAAAGACATATAAAAGAAAAAGAATTTAATTATTGGCTTCAGTTTGTGATATCTGCACACCTCTTTACACTCTTTTATATCTAAATTTAAACAATTCTTACTAAAATACCATCCTTCAAATAAACTTTCTTTTTATATTTCAAAGTATGATATTACATATATTTATATTTTAATTTTACTCGTCAGACATAGTATAACAATGGATCTAAATATAGCTTGGACATGTCAAATAACTGACAATAATAAGATGGACATTAAAAAAGAAGAACACCTTTCCACCAAGAAATGTTTAAAGAAACAAAACAAAAATAAGAGGATGTTTATGATGGAAAGGGGATACGAAACAGTTCACCTTATAAACCTCTGTTCGAAGCACTGAGAGAAGAAGTAAGAGAAAGACTTAGACAGAAATTTAAGAAATATGATAAAATTTGTTTACAATAATAAAAGACATACCAGTTAAGAAGCCAGGTACGAAAACAAGAGGGCCATGATGGCCCTGAAGTTGCTCACCTGAAGGGCTTTTATTTGAACAAACTTGGTAGACACCCATCAAAAGATGTTTCATGCTAAACATCTAAGGTCTAGATCGTTGGGTTTTTTAAAAGAAGATTTTTTCAAGTTTTTTCTTTACACATATAGTTAAAAACAATGACAAACCTGGGGCAGGGCCAGTTTTGACCCCAGGGCTTTTATTTGAACAATCTTTGTAGACACTTATTATAAATTGTCTCATGCTTAATATCTAAACTCTAGCTATTCGGGTTTTTTCAAAGAAGATTTTTAAGTTTTTGCTATACACATATAAGGAAAATCAATGTCCCCCTGGGCCAGCCAATTTTGACCCCAGGGCTTTTATTTGAACAAACTTTGTAGACACTCACTAGAAGATGCTTCGTGCTTAATATCTAAACTCTAGCTATTTGAGTTTTTTTAAAGAAGATTTTTTAAGTTTTTGTTATACACATATAAGGAAAATGAATGACCCCCTGGGGCGGGGCCAATTTTAACCCCAGTGCTTTTATTTGAACAAACTTGGTAGACACTCACTAGAAGATGTTTCATGCTTAGTATGTAAACTCTAGACATTTGGTTTTTTTCAAAAAAGATTTTTTTAAGTTTTTGCTATACACATATTAGGAAAATCAATGACCCCCGGGGCTGGCCAATTTTGACCCAAGGGCTTTAATTTGAACAAACTTGGTAGACATCAATTAGAACATGTTTCATGCTAAATATCTTAGCTCTAGCTCTTTGGGTTCTTTAAAAGAAGTTTTTTTAAGTTTTTACTATATGCATATAGGGAAAATCAATGACCCCCTGGGGCGGGGCCAATTTTGACCCCAGGGCTTTTATTTGAACAAATTTGGTAGACACCCATTAGAAGATGTTTCATGCTAAATATCTTAGATCTAGCTCTAAGTTTTTACTTTATGCATATAGGGAAAATCAATGACCCCCTGGGGCGGGGCCAATTTTGACCCCAGGGCTTTTATTTGAACAAACTTGGTAGACACTCACTAGAAGATGTTTCATGCCACATATCTAAGCTCTGTTCTTTGGGTTTTTTAGAAGAAGATATTTAAAGTTTTTTCTTTTTTTTTGCCATGGCAACCAGAGTTCTGCATGGAATTAAATTCTTTGAACACTTTTCAAAGGTGACCACCAAAGGAACATTCCTGTGAAGTTTGGATGAAATTGGCTTAGTGGTTTATGAGGAGATGTCATTTGAAGTACAAGTTTACGGACGCCGGACGGACGCCGGACGAAAAGCGATCACAAAAGCTAAACAAGAGGGCCAAGATGGCCCTGAGGTTGCTCACCTGTATAGTGGCCCCCGCAGCGGGGCCAGTTTAAACCCAAGGGCTTTTATTTGAACAAACTTGGAAGACACCCATTTTTACTACACACATATAATGAAAAACAATTACCTGCCCCCCCCCCCCCCTCCCGCAGGGCCAATTTTAACCCAAGGGCTTTTATTTGAACAAACTTGGTAGATACCCATAAGAAGATGTTTCATGCTAAATATCTAAGCTCTTGCTCATTGGGTTTTTTAAAAGAAGATTTTTTATGTTTTTACTAATATATAAATATATCTAAAAACAATGACACCCCAAGGGCGGGGCCAGTTATGACCCTAGGGCTTATATTTGAATAAACTTTGTAGCCATTACTAGAAGATGTTTCATGTTTAACATCAAAACTCTAGCTATTTGCGTTTTTTCAAAGAAGATTTTTAAGTTTTTGCTATACACATATTAGGAAAATCAATGACACCAGGGGCGGGGCCAATTTTGACCCCAGGGCTTTTATTTGAACAAACTTTGTAGACACTCACTAGAAGATGTTTCATGCTTAATATCTAAACTCTAGCTATTTGGGTTTTTTCATAGAAGATTTTTGAAGTTTTTGCTATACACATATATGGAAAATCAATGACCCCCGGGGCGGGGCCAATTTTGACCCCAGGGCATTTATTTGAACAAACTTGGTAGACACCCTTTAGAACATGTTTCATGCTAAATATCTTAGCTCTAGCTCTTTGAGTTCTTTAAAAGAAGATTTTTTAAGTTTTTACTATATGCATATAGGGAAAATCAATGACCCCCTGGGGCGGGGCCAATTTTGACCCCAGGGCTTTTATTTGAACAAACTTGGTAGAAACTCATTAGAAGATGTTTCATGCTTAATATCTTAGCTCTAGCTCTTTGGGTTCTTTAAAAGAAGATTTTTTAAGTTTTTACTATATGCATATAGGGAAAATCAATGACCCCCTGGGGCGGGGCCAATTTTGACCCCAGGGCTTTTATTTGAACAAACTTGGTAGACACTCACTAGAAGATGCTTCATGCCAAATATCTAAGCTCTAGCTCTTTGGGTTTTTTAAAAGAAGATATTTAAAGTTTTTTCTTTCGGTTGCCATGGCAACCAGAGTTCTGCATGGAATTAAATTCTTTGAACAATTTTTAAAGGTGACCACCAAAGGAACATTCCTGTGAAGTTTGGATGAAATTGGCTAAGTGGTTTATGAGGAGATGTCATTTAAAGTAAAAGTTTACGGACGGCCGGACGCCGGACGAAAAGCGATCACAAAAGCTCACCCTGTTACTTTGTGACAGGCGAGCTAAAAAACCCTAGACATTCTTAAAAATTTGTGTATTCAAACAGAAAAAGGAAATACACATGAAGGAAAACACAGTCTTCATACTGTCTTTAAGGAAAACATATTATCTTTTTTTCTTCATCTTCTTTAACCAAGTGATTTTTTTTTGTATTTGAATTAAAACCAATGGTGAAGAAACTTATTTTTTAATCTTTATGTACCGTAAATTTTCAGGTCTTAAATAATTTTTAACAAATATTAAAATCAGTTGAATTATTGTATTGTATTTGTGTTGTAAAACAAATATGTAACGCCATAGGCTTTAACAAATACATGAAAACTTATTTTGAAAATCATAAGCAGGGGTTGTAACTCTCATCACCTCAATATACCTCTAAGATCACTTCATAAATATAATAAAATTATATCTATATATTTATTTCAATGTTAACGTAATAAATCCTTCATCAAGTGTACACACATGATGTAGTTTTTCACACCATGCCAATGTAACAGCTGATATTTTCAAATGAAATATAACTCGAGCTGTCATGTTAAACAGCTCTCTTTCTTTATGAGTTACTGAAATAATAACATGTGTTGTTTTTTTTGTTTTTTTGTTGAAAAATTATGTAACAAGGAAGATATTTGCTAACTTTGAAAATGCAGTGCTAATGAACTGTACCATAAATGCTATTAAATGCATTTAAACAATGAAATAATGAAAAGATTATTCAGTAGTGAAATTATCTAAATATAATTCACTGTAGTGCAAATATCAAGTCGTGAATTAATGAAAATATATTTCACAATAGTGAAATTATCGAAGCATAATACACTGTAGTGAAAATACAAAATAGTGAAATAATGAAAATATATTTCACAGCAGTAAAATTATCAAAATTGAATTAAGCACTACAACCAAAGTATCAAAATGTAAATTGACTCTGACATTTAAGTCATCAAAAGAAAAGAATATGACTAACCTAATGTCCTATAAATAAGTTTTTTTATGAAAGTGTATGAAAAGAATACTAGTTTAAGAAATGTTTTTGGACAAGGGAAATAACTCTTATATAAAAATGGAACAAATAGAGACAAGAGAAGTAACTCTTGTGGACAAGGGAAACAACTTTTATTTACAAATGGAGGAAATATGGACAAGAGAAGCAACTCTTGAAGGTAGGAAAAAAACTGTTGGCAAGGGACACAACTCATTTTCACTCACCCAAGTAGACTTTTTCATTGTTTATAGTCAGCAGGAATTAGAATAACTCTATGTTGAAAAGCACTTAAGTTATTTTTAGACTCCTGGAACAAGTACTTCATTCAAGTGACTTGTAAAACCCAGTCCAAACACATAGGTCCATCAAGATACTAAATATTTCTAAAATATTTCAAATATAGGTCAATAAATGAAGGCTTTATTTGGAATTAGAGGATATTAAATATGTGTAAGTTCAATATTGAATTTACTGAACAAGATGAATTTAATAATATTGTATCAGACAAGCCTTGGTTGCATAAAATATTAGCTCAAAAATGTAATAATGAAGCTACAAAATATAATATTTTATTAATTAAGTAGCCCAATATAGTTTTTGTACTGATAAGCTTGTACCAAGGTGCTAGCATTTTGCACAACTTTACACAATGTTTGTAGAATGCAACTGATGTCATGTCAATATATATGCACTGCATTTCAATATTGTTTTCACACAGACAGGCATCACAAAAGAGGCATGTGATATGTGATTAAGATAGATTGCTAAAATTTTTCCTATGTCGGGATATAAAATGACCCCATGATAATTGCCAAGCTTAACCCCAAAGGGAAATACTTGAACCAATTTAGTAATAGTTATATCAACACTGCAACATAGTAAAAAATTTTGCTCCAAGCCTAATGCTTTCACAGACAATTTTCATTTTTAACAATTTCACTTTAAAAATTTAATTTTACTAGACAAAAATGTGGAAAAGACAAGAAAAATTCTGCCAGCTTTTGGTCTGGCTTCGTTTTAAGAAGGGAATATCCTTGGCGTGTTCCATAGTATGGAAATGGATATTAAAACAATTATGGATGTTGCACAAAAGATAAAATGACGGACATTCAGTGATCATAAAAAGACTTTGTGGAAATCTTTCACCATACGCGGTGAAATGTTGTGCAAAATTTACTAGATTTTTTTTAGGATAAATCGACAAAACTACACATAACATGGGCAAGTTTCTTCCCAAGGCAAAAAAGATAATAATTCCTGCAAAAGAAAATTATTTTTTGTTTCAAAACTAGACACATTTTAACATAATTTCATGTCCCTGCTTCGGGAAAAATTACTTCTTTCCATTGAACAAAAAATATATATTTACTAAATACATCCTATACATTTCACAGTGAAATTATCAAATTACTAAGGAAAAGATACAAAAATAATAGTGATAAAGAAACGACAACAACATATCTTTTAAACTAAATATCAAAATATAAGCCATCCTAATGAAGAGCTTGAAAAGTTCTACCTTTTCTACAATAATACAAACAGTATTTACATTTGTTATATCTTAACTATATTGATTTAAAAATATATATATAATAAATGAAGATTATGCTCAGATCTTTAAGTAAATAATTATATCAAAGACTAGTAATTAAATCAAAGACTAATTATTCAACATCAAGGACGAAAGGAAAAATTCATACAAGTTACAACGGACATTGTGCAGTCAAAAAACAAACTGCAAGAAAAAAAAGACACCCGATATTAGTGCTAAATATCAGGTAAAGAAACTTCTTGAAAAAATATTAATAAGTCTATTCATTGTGTTAAATATCAATATAGATATACACAGTTCTGAAGCATCACACCTCAAACTTTAATGTAAATGTATTATTGAAAATTTATAAAATATATAGCTACTAAAACTAGCCTATGGTACAAACTATCCCTAGTATTTTCATACAATTTGTCAAAAAATGAAGAAATAGGTACTACTCAATAAGTAACCAATTAGAAATGTGGTACCAACAAAATCAGTTCCGTCACATTTTGTATTAAACATACAAACTATCATAAGGATTTGTTAAACTACATGTAGTAACGTATTTTTTAAAGTATGATTTTTTAAAATGTTTATTTATTCATCTGTGGAAAGCAGCTTAAAATGTACGAAGAGGAAAATTTCACACTTGGTGAAATTTATTGTACAGAAAAGTTTTGGCACTAAATTTATCTGCGCATCAAATTTTGGGACATGTAAACATTTTTTTTTTGGAAAGATGCAAAAAATAAGATAAATAGAAATATCAGCACAACCTTTCTTGGCAAAGAGCCAAAACAATCACATTTCTCACCAGAATAAAGACTTGCAATGTCTGTCACAAGGGCTTTCTTTATTCAACTTGAAAAGTCTCTAGAATCGCTAGTCTATTTTATGACACCAATTACTAACTTTCATAATGTTCCATGCATTAAAGTATTGATAGGGTAAAATAATATTTAATTGAGCATTTCCATTTTTGACATTAAAAATTTTGGCAAATAAAATTTACATGGGTTACCATATTTATTTTAGAAACCTGATAGAGGACCATCCAACAATGCTACAAAAACATAGTTTAGAAATGATCCATTCATTTGTTGACAAGAAAAGATAATTTTTTCCCGGTATTTCTATAAAGTTCTGGCCATCCCTGAACAAGATGCAAATCAAATTTATATTACAATAATTAATTAATATGACCATGTTAGGATGCTGTAGGGATGTTTAACACTTAGTTAAACCACAATCCATACATGTTTAAAGAATCTTTGTTACTTCACTTTTTTCAAAGTCTATTTAAAGGTTCAATTGGTACAAGATGAGTATATAAATGCAGTTTGAAGACCATATAATTGCTACAAAGTAAACTTGAGTAAATTCTGGCCAGGCATTTATGAAAGTTACTCTTAAACTGCATATATAGTTCACTTTAAAATAATGATTCTGTAAAGGGATGGTTATTTGTTAACATTGGAGTATCCCACCTATACAAAATAACTCACCATGACCCTTTAGTTATGGTGAGCTGAAAAAGACTTAAACAAATCAATGAGATGGAATTATTTCCAGCAAAGTTGGCAAAAAAAAACAAGAGGGCCATGAAGGCCCTGAAGTCGCTCACCTTTTTAAAGGTCCCCGGAGCCGGGCCAGTTTTAACCCCAGGGCTTTTATTTTAACAAACTTGGAAGACACCAATTAGAAGTTGTTTCATGCTAAACATCTAAGGTGTTTCATGCTAAACATCTAAGGACTAGCTGGTCAAGTTTTTTCTTTACACATATAGTTAAAAACAATGACACACCTGGGGCAGGGCCAATTTTGACCCAAGGGCTTTTATTTGAACAATCTTTGTAGACACTTACTAGAAAATGTTTCATGCTTAATATCTAAACTCTAGCTATTCCGTATTTTTTTCAAAGAAGATTTTTAAGTTTTTGCTGTACACATATAAGAAAAATCAATGTCACCAGGGCGGGGCCAATTTTGACCCAAGGGCTTTTATTTGAACAAACTTTCAAGACACTCACTGGAAGATGCTGCGTGCTTAATATCTAGCTATTTGAGTTTTTTCAAAGAAAATTTTTTAAGTTTTTGTTATACACATATAAGGAAAATGAATGACCCCGGGAGTGGGGCCAATTTTGACCCCAGGGCTTTTATTACAACAAACTTGGTAGACACTCACTAGAAAATGTTTCAAGCTTAGTATCTAAACTCTAGCCTTTTTTTTTTTTTTTTTCAAAGAAGATTTTTTTTAAGTTTTTGCAATACACATATAAGAAAAATCAATGACCCCCGGTCAGGACCAATTTGACCCCAGGGCTCTTATTTGAACAAACTTGGTAGACATCCATTAGAACATGTTTCATGCTAAATATCTTAGCTCTAGCTCTTTGGGTTCTTTAAAAGAAAATTCTTTAAGTTCTAACTATATGCATATAGGGAAAATCAATGACCACCTGGGGCAGGGCCAATTTTGACCCCAGGGCTCTTATTTGAACAAACTTGGTAGACATCCATTAGAACATGTTTCATGCTAAATATCTTAGCTCTAGCTCTTTGGGTTCTTTAAAAAAAAATTCTTTAAGTTTTAACTATATGCATATAGGGAAAATCAATGACCACCTGGGGCAGGGCCAATTTTGACCCCAGGGCTTTTATTTGAGCAAACTTGGTAGACAACAATTAGAGGATATTTCATGCTAAATATCTTAGTTTAGGTCTTTGGGTTCTTTAAAAGAAGATTTTTTTAAGTTTTTACTATATGCATAAAGGGGAAATCAATGACCCCCCGGGGCGGGGCCAATTTTGACCCCAGGGCTTTTTTTTTAACAAACTGGGTAGACACCTATTAGAGGATGTTTCATGCTAAATATCTTAGCTCTTGGTCTTTGGATTCTTTAAAAGAAGATTTTAAGTTTTTACTATATGCATATAGGGAAAATTAATGACCCCCTGGGGCAGGGCAAATTTTGACCCAAGGGCTTTTCTTTTTTAAAACTTGGTAGACACCTTTTAGAGGATGTTTCATGCTTAATATCTTAGCTCTAGGTCTTTGGGTTCTTTACAAGAAGATTTTAAAATTTTTTGCTATACACATATAAGGATAATCAATGACCCCCGGGGTGGGGCCAATTTTGACCCCAGGGCTCTTATTTGAACAAACTTGGTAGACATCCATTAGAACATGTTTCATGCTAAATATCTTAGCTCTAGCTCTTTGGGTTCTTTAAAAGAAGATTTTTAAGTTTTTACTATATGCATATAGGGAAAATCAATGACCCCCTGGGGTGGGGCCAATTTTGACCCCAGGGCTTTTATTTAAACAAGCTTGGTAGACACCCATTAGAGGATGTTACATGCTAAATATCTTAGCTATAGGTCTTTGGGTTCTTTTAGAGAAGATTTTTTAAGGTTTTACTATATGCATATAGGGAAAATCAATGACCCCCTGGGGCGGGGCCAATTTTGACCCCAGGGATTTTATTTGAACAAACTTGGTAGACACTCACTAGAAGATGTTTCATGCCAAATATCTAAGCTCTAGCTCTTTGGATTTTTTAAAGAAGATATTTGAAGTTTTTTCTTTTGGTTGCCATGGCAACCAGAGTTCTGCATGGAATTAAATTCTTTGAACAATTTTTAAAGGTGACCACTAAAGGAACATTCCTGTGAAGTTTGGATGAAATTGGCTCAGCGTTTTATGAGGAGATGTTGTTTAAAGTAAAAGTTTACAGACGGACAACAGACGGACGGACGCGGACAAAAAAGCGGTCACAAAAGCTCATCCTGTCACTTTGTGACAGGTGAGCTAAAAAGTAATAAAATTGTGTATACATAGAACTTTTCCAGTTCTAAAGAAGGAAATAAAAGCAATAAAAACAAAAAAAGCTTTTCCATTGCTTAAAATGTGCAATAAAAACAGAAAACTTCATTTTCTAAGCAAATGGGCATTTAAAACAGGAAACTTTTCCATTGCTTTAAATATGTGCAATAAAAAAAGAAAACTTTTCCTTTTCTAAGCAAATGGGGTATAAAAACAGGAAACTTTATCATTCCTTAATTAGGAGCAATAAAAAAGAGAAACTTTTCCTTTGCCAAACTAGGAACAATAAACACAGAGAATCTTTTCCCATTCCTGGACAGTTTGACTGTAAAATCACTAAAACCATTGAAGTGGTCTCACTGTAATCACTGAATTCTGAAAAAACAACAAGAAAATACAACATGAATTTAAATCAAATACTGTACATTGATAAAAAAAAAGAAATCTTTTTAAGTATCAGCTAAAAAATGATCATTCTATTAACTATTTAATCATCAAGTGACATTTCAATTGAACTAATTATTCTTGTAGTATAGCTCTATGAACTTACTGTTTTAGTAGTACCCGCCTCAATCACCTGAAGTTTAGCAATCTTATTTAAACAATTCTGTAAATCTGGCTTGGAGTCTGAATAATAAAATCACATCAACATATTATATTTCTCTTTAAAGAGATCTTCAGCGTTTCTTAAGGTTAATTAGGTTATTTTTAGAAAAATATTTCATATAATTGTCAAACCTAAAGAATTAAGATGAGAAGTGCCGATGATAAAATACATATACAATAAGGAAACCCCTTGATACCTCTTATCTACCGGTCCACTCTTTAAATCTAAATTAGTAAAGCGGACGATTTGTTTCCCGATCATCTATTTCTATAAATAGCTCTCATGACGATGGTTTGAAAAAGGCTTATCCGGCTTAACAGTGATTTGATGCACTTTTCTAAGATAAAATTAATGAAATACTTAGTTGGAAACAACAGAGAACTATTTTTCCAACAGAATATAAAGACTGAAGACCACTTTTAAAATAAATGAAACATTGTTTGACACATCTAGGTTAGGGAATCCTATTTTCTGTGTATGTAGAAGAGAAAATGAAGAATGAAATTATGTTCAGAAATTTATGGAAGTTACTTAAAACTTCACTTATATAGTTCTTTTCACAATAATAACTACACATATCACTTGCGATATATATAACTACACAATACCTACAATTAACAACACAATTATTCCACACATAGAATTTAGTTCACTACAGATGTAGATTACTACACATTTAGTTAATACATATTATCTACAACACATGCAATTAACAACACATATAGCAAACTAAACATGTAGTTATCCACACATAGTAAACCACACATATAGTAAATTACATATACAGTAAACTATACCTATAGTTTACACATATCAGTTTACTACACAATAATACCTACAGATACATGTATTATAAACCCACAACCTCCTTATCAGGAGTCCTACCCCTATATTCAATTACTAGTAACTGACAGACAGAAAACAACAATTCCCTAAATCTTCAAGAGAAAAACGAAAACATTCTTACAAAATTCTATATGAAGTTTACAAACCATTTATAAGTACTTATTTCACTTATCATTTTAAAACATAATTACCAACAAGTTTGAAAGGTTTAGCCATTGGGGGTAGAGTCCAGAAGGCAGGATTGGCTCTGAACAATTCTGTCTTTTTTGCCATAATCCTGTTACCGTAGTCTATGAAAATAAGATCCCCTAACGCCTCTCCGTTCTTCATTGTTTCAAAGGTACACCATCCTCTACAAAAGAAATGTACACTATGCTTTATAAAATACAAATGTACACTATGCTTTATAAAATACAAATGTACACTATGCTTTATAAAATACAAATGTACACTATGCTTTAAAGTACAAATGTACACTCGTCTAGAACACAAATGAGTTTCTCTCTTCAAAGTCCCCACTATTACCTGGGGAGTGAGGGAATTTAGTAACAACTGACATATGTGCATTATAATGTATTTACCTGAACCATTCGTTCTCAAACTTAGCAACACATCTTCCCAATCCAGCTGTAGTTGTAGTTTTGGGTTCAATCTGTAACTGGCTTGCCAGGGTTTCTAAATGTTGTAAATCTTGATTATCTCCGTTAATTGACTGTAATCATATACAAATTCTCCAATAATTGACTGTAATTATATAACACTCCATTGACTGTAATTATATACTAATACTCCATTAATTGACTGTAATCATATACAAATACTCCATTAATTGACTGTAATCATAGACAAAAATCTCCATTAATTGACTGTAATTACATACAAATACTCCATTAATTGACTGTAATCATATACAAATACTCCATTAATTGACTGTAATCATATACAAATACTCCATTAATTGACTGTAATCATAGACAAAATCTCCATTAATTGACTGTAATCATATACAAATACTCCATTAATTGACTGTAATCATATACAAATACTCCATTAATTGACTGTAATCATAGACAAAATCTCCATTAATTGTCAGTAATTACATACAAAATCTCCATTGACATTAATGAAAGACAAAACTTCCATAAATTGGCAGCAATGATAAGACAAAACCTTTCTAAACAGTTGAAACTCTACTTGAAACAGAGAATATGGAAACAACTTTACATTCCGGTTTTATAAATTTCATTCAATGTATTTCATTGATATAAATGTAGCTTTAAACTCAAATAATGGGAAGTGTCAATCACTAACAAGGGCCTGAAATTAATAATCAGCATATTTGAATCACTCTCACCTTTCAATGATGCAGTCTCGCAAAGTTATCAACATATACAAACTTATTATATTTTATTAATGACAGTAAATAAAGGGAGATTATCTCATTTTATAATATAGTTATAAGAGAGAAATTTTCTACAAAAACACAGGGAAAATAATGATTATCCATGAAGTGTAATGGCCCAAAATTAGCCCTAATAATCATTTGAAACTTCTAAAATACATCTTTTTTTATGATCTTGTAAAATCAATCCCCAGAAATTACAAATAATACTGTTATAAGGGTTTTATTGATATCATAGTGGTGAGCTGATCTTACGAAGTTCAATATCCATACTTTCATTGTGAAGTTTATATTGTTGAGTAAATAATAATGACCCCATGAACATACATGTCTAGAGTCTCCTGGAAGCCTAAATAAATGAAATTATTAAAGCAGCACGCCTCTAGATTCATGCACATTTTCATCAAAACTTTGAAAATGAATTTAATTGTAAAAATTTTGTGAAGTTAACAAATAAAGTAATTCACACCAAATGGCTTTTACAATCCATGGAAATACCTTAAGGATGTCAACATAAATTTCGCAAAAACTGCTCTTATTGCTCTTATTGCATAAGTAACCCATTAAAAATATGGTTACAAATTCTGCTATATCAGTCGATGATCACACACAATATAATAATCGTTTCTTGAATCTCGAATCTGTTTTATCTTTCTTAAAATCTTAGTACACTTTTCTCATGTTTGATTTTCTTGAAATAATTTGGCTCAACTGGAGGCATGCAGCTTTAATTAGAAATTAATAAGAAACAAAATCCTAGTTCTTTTTGCTTACATCTTGCAGGATCTGAGCCCAGAAAATCTTCTCATTTTCTACATGCGTTACCATCACGGTCAGCTGCATGTCGCGGACACTCTGAAACTGCTCTTCTGCACGTAACTTTGTAGCTATTTTCGTGTAGTCCTGTAACGTAGTTGTCAGTCGCTGCATGTTGGAGCTACCTCTGTTTTGTTGCTGTGATCTCGGGTATCCTGTCTCCGAATTCATGGTAGAAGAAACAGGTGATACCTGCGACATCTGTGACATATCTAAAATATAGTAAAATAAAGGTAACATAAAATGAAGATAATAACTAGAAATGTGTCATCATGCCACGGATGCCCCCGCATGCAGCCAAAATTTCAGATGTTATAATATTTAGTTCCAAATTTGTTTGCACAAATTATTGTTTTCATTTTAAGTTCAAAGCCCTTAAAACTTTTCAATGTTAACACAAACCATTTCCATACAATGTTCAAGGCACTGAAATTATTCAGTCTCAACCTTTTGAAAATAGCATATTTCATATTTGTAGCCAAAATAATGGCTACATACATTTCCACAAAAGTATGAGTGCTGAAACTTAAAGTTCAAAATTATTCCAATATTCAAGAAAGATAAGTTTGTCCAAAATCATTGAACCACGACCAAATTCAAACTTAAACTGCTTATTCCTAAGATGTATCTATATTATTTTCAAAGTGAAAGGGACATAACTCTGCCAAAAAAATCATCGAACCATGACCAAATTCCAACTTGACCTGCCCATTCCTTTGACATATCCATATGTCAAATTTATGTTGAATATGTAACACTGTTGGGTAGATAATGAACAGAAACTGTAAATTTCATATTAATTTCAAAGTGAAAGGGGCATTACTCTGCCAAAAATCATTGAACAATGAACAAATTCGAACTGGGCCTGGGCATTCCAAAAACATATCCATATGTCAAATTTGAGTTGAATGTGTTGTACTGTTGGGGAGATAATAAACAGAAACTGAAAATTTCATATTATTTTCAAAGTAAAAGGAGCATAACTCTGCCAAAAATCATCAAACCATGACCAAATTCAAACTTAACCTGTATTTTCTCTTGACATATTCATCTGTCAAATTTGAGTTGAATATGTTGTACCGTTTGGGAGATAATGAACGGAAACTGAAAATTTCATATTATTTTCAAAGTAAAAGGGGCATAACTCTGCCAAAAATCATCGAACCATGACCAAATTCAAACTTGACCTGTATTTTCTCATGACATATCCATATGTCAAGTTTGAGTTGAATGTGTTGTACCGTTGGGGAGATAATGAACGGAAACTGAAAATTTCATATTATTTTCAAAGTAAAAGGGGCATAACTCTGCCAAAAATCATCAAACCATGACCAAATTCAAATTTGACCTGTATTTTCTCATGACATATCCATATATCAAATTTGAGTTGAATGTGTTGTACCGTTGGGGAGATAATGAACGGAAACTGAAAATTTCATATTATTTTCAAAGTAAAAGGGGCATAACTCTGCCAAAAATCATCGAACCATGACCAAATTCGAACTTGACCTGTATTTTCTGATGACATATCCATATGTCAAATTTGAGTTGAATGTGTTGTACCGTTGGGGAGATAATGAACGGAAACTGAAAATTTCATATTATTTTCAAAGTAAAAGGGGCATAACTCTGCCAAAAATCATCGAACCATGACCAAATTCGAACTTGACCTGTATTTTCTCATGACATATCCATATGTCAAATTTGAGTTGAATATGTGCAACCGTTACTAAGATAATGAACGGAAACTGATGATGACGGAATGACAGAATGACGGAATGACGGAAGGACGGAATGACGGAAGGACGGAAGGACGGAACAGGGTAACACTATATGCCCCGGCCATTACATGGCGGGGGCATAAAAACCTTATACATGTATGATTCTCTTTGACAAATTAACCAAATTTACGTCATTTATTCCTTTTTTGTTGAGTTTTAAGTCAAACCAAGACTGTAATGGTCATATGGTGATTTTCCAGCTTTGAAGTGCACCTTTATGCATTATTTTCAGCTTTAATGGTAGGGCAAGACCTGTAGCCCCTTCACATATTATTTCAGGCACAAGCCTGCCCTTTAGTAGAACCACCATCCTTCCCTTTGCTAGTTCTGCATAGAATCCAAGGTCAAGGAAGGGATTCAAACTCATAGTAGTGAGGGGACCAATGAGTTAAAGTCAACAACCTTAACCATTAGGCCATGGAAGCCCCAGGTTTACATGTGGAGACAATCAATGTACGACTGCTAACACAAACAAAAGAGAATGTATAAAGAAACTTGTAAACTATAAATGATAGAAGTATAAACATTTTAATAAATGAATGGGTTAAATTTTACAACAAAATAACTATTCATTTTATAGGAGAATTTTAAATTTTGTTAAACAAGAGTGAATAAATTAATCAAAAGAATATAAATGATCAAACAAATGAATGAATAAATGATCAAAATAAATAATCTACAAAAAAAGGAATGAATGTTCCAACTAATAAATGAATAAATGAAACTTAAATCTTGAATCAACAAAAGAATGAATAAATTTTGAATCAACAAAAGAATGAATAAATTTTGAATCAACAAAAGAATGAATACATTTTGAATCAACAAAAGAATGAATAAATTTTGAATCAACAAAAGAATGAATAAATTTTGATTCAACAAAAGAATGAATACATTTTGAATCAACAAAAGAATGAATAAATTTTGAATCAACAAAAGAATGAATACATTTTGAATCGACAAAAGAATGAATAAATTTTGAATCAACAAAAGAATGAATATGTTTTGAATCAACAAAAGAATGAATGAATAAACAAACATAATATAAAACAGAACAAATAAACAAATGAATCAACAAATGAATTTAATAAAAAACAAACTTAATCAATCAAGGCCACTTCTTTTATATTTCTTGGTTTACAAAACCGGCGACCCGAAATATTTGTAAATTGGAAAAAAAATAAAACTGAAATTTCCACTTTTTTTTCCCCCGATGCAAAAAAAATTATCCGATAAGCGCGATAAGTACGAAAATTCGAATATTTTTGAGTACGAATCTATATAACACAACATTCGGACTACCTCGGATAACTACCACAGTTCATGGTAAAACAACAATGGCGGCGCCCTTGAGCGGCACTAGTCCTATAAATATGACGTGGCTTTGAGATATTTTTGCTTCTGGGCAAAGCAACGTCATATCGAAATTGCTCAAAAACCCATAGCATGTTCCGCCAGAAAATCGGGCGGAACGAAAAACAATGAAGACAGCGTGTATTTACGTAAGTTTTGACCTATTTATGAACAAAACTAAAAAATAGTAACCTTTTGTCAAAATAATTAAACTGTCACATCCGAAAAATCATGATTAAATCCTCTCACGTATTTAAATTCTTTTTACAGCCGATAAACAAATGGCGACCATAAGGTGCGCGAAATCTGATTGGCTAATTCAAATGCAAGCGTTTAACTGAGTCAGAACAATCTAACGGAATATTTTTTTAACGAAATAATTGCCCATGCACCATCAGTGTGTTCGAATATATTTTTCCGTTCAAAAATTTGGAATCAATCTGTAAAGCACCTTGCTTAACCAGTATGGCTGATAGACAAAAATAGATTGATGTTTATATTTTATTTTAAATTGATAAGTACAGTGTTTGAGAGTTTTTTGTGTATGATTGAGCATGAAATTGAAAGAAAAAAGATAAGCTTTTGAATAAAACTTGAAAGGCAAGACAAAAGACATTTTTTGAATTTTATATGATGCTATGCGTTTTTGAGCAATACCTATTATATTAGACGTCAGGCTTGACCGACATAAACTATAACAAGCCTGTAACGTCTAATATATTGGACTAGAGCGGCACTGTTTATTTCCAAGTTGATTTTGTTGGAATTAAAGATTTGCCAACCAGACGGGCTTTTTTAAAGGCTGCCGTTGATGAGGACATCTGCACGGCTATAAGCCGTATCCCTCATCGAGAAGATCTTTAATGGTTTGATTTACGATATATTTGCTAGTATATTGTTAAATTGTATTTTTCTTTTCGTCGAAATGCTCAGTCGGGACCGGTTCGGACACACATCCGATCAGTATAAACCTGGAGAAGTGCTGCTTTATAACAAACATGAAAGCTATACTAAGGAAAAACAACAATAAAAAGATGTTTAAATTACTGTTTTTGTTTATGTCAATAGAAGAATGACACTTTTTTTGACAAAATAGTGTTTTATGTGCACCATACAAGATTTTTTTTGTTACAATATACCCGATGGACCTTTTTGAGGTTTTTTTTTTTTTTTTTTTTCCGACCACCCAGTGGACATTTTTGAAAAAAAATTTTGTAAACCAAGAAAAAAACTAGAAATGTGTCATCATGCCACGGATGCCCCCGCATGCAGCCAAAATTTCATGATGTTATAATATTTAGTTCCAAATTTGTTTGCACAAATTATTGTTTTCATTTTAAGTTCAAAGCCCTTAAAACTTTTCAATGTTAATACAAACCATTTCCATACAATGTTCAAGGCACTGAAATTATTCAGTCTTAACCTTTCGAAAATAGCATATTTCATATTTGTAGCCAAAATAATGGCTACATATATTTCCACAAAAGTATGAGTGCTGAAACTGAAAGTTCAAAATTTTTCCAATATTCAAGAAAGATAAGTTTGTCGAAAATCATTGAACCACGACCAAATTCAAACTTAAACTGCTTATTCCTAAGATGTATCTATATTATTTTCAGTGAAAGGGACATAACTCTGCCAAAAAAATCATCGAACCATGACCAAATTCCAACTTGACCTGCCCATTCCTTTGACATATTCATATGTCAAATTTGAGTTGAATATGTAACACTGTTGGGTAGATAATGAACAGAAACTGTAAATTTCATATTAATTTCAAAGTGAAAGGGGCATTACTCTGCCAAAAATCATTGAACAATGAACAAATTAGAACTGGGCCTGGGCATTCTAAAAACATATCCATATGTCAAATTTGAGTTGAATGTGTTGTACTGTTGAGGATATAATAAACAGAAACTGAAAATTTCATATTATTTTCAAAGTAAAAGGAGCATAACTCTGCCAAAAATCATCGAACCATGACCAAATTCAAACTTAACCTGTTATTTTCTCATGACATATCCATATGTCAAATTTGAGTTGAAAATGTTGTACCGTTGGGAGATAATGAACGGAAACTGAAAATTTCATATTATTTTTAAGTAAAAGGGGCATTACTCTGCCAAAAAATCATCGAACCATGACAAAATTCAAACTTGACCTGTATTTTCTCATGACATATCCATATGTCAAATTTGAGTTGAATGTGTTGTACTGTTGTGGAGATAATGAACGGAAACTCAAAATTTCATATTATTTTCAAAGTAAAAGGGGCATAACTCTGCCAAAAATCATCGAACCATGACCAAATTCGAACTTGACCTGTATTTTCTCATGAAATATCAATATGTCAAATTTGAGTTGAATATTTTGTACCGTTGGGGAGATAATGAATGGAAACTGAAAATTTCATATTATTTTCAAAGTAAAAGGGGCATAACTCTACCAAAAATCATCGAACCATGACCAAATTGGAACTTGACCTGTATTGTTTCATGACATATCCATGTGTCAAATTTGAGTTGAATGTGTTGTACGGTTGGGGAGATAATGAACGGAAACTGAAAATTTCATATTATTTTCAAAGTAAAAGGGGCATAACTCTGCCAAAAATCATCGAACCATGACCAAATTCGAACTTGACCTGTATTTTCTCATGACATATCCATATGTCAAATTTGAGTTGAATATGTGCAACCGTTACTAAGATAATGAACGGAAACTGATGATGACGGAATGACAGAATGACGGAATGACGGAAGGACGGAATGACGGAAGGACGGAATGACGGAACAGGGTAACACTATATGCCCCGGCCATTACATGGCGGGGGCATAAAAAGAAGTGGCCCAACAAGCAAATTAATGAACAAAAGAGAAATACATGTTTTACCATCAGCAGTTACGAAACAGTCAGGGCTTTCTACAAGTTGAAAATGAACAAATATACAGAAAACTAATCCTTCAAGCATTTTTATTTTTTAATACCTAATGCCTTCTAAAAATATACTAATTGCTTATTTACATCTGTTCCATTAAACCACTGAAATCCTGTGCATGCACAGTGAAGAAATGAACTGTAGAACGGTCAACATCTCTCACAATTTCACCCCTCTCATAGAGTATTTCCCTTAATGCCATCCCGTGCTATTTGGTAATCAGTCCGGTACTATTTGGAAATCAGTCCGGTACTATTTGGAAATCAGTTCGGTACTATTTGGAAATCAGTCCGGTACTATTTGGAAATCAGTTTGGAACTATTTGGAAATCAGTCCGGTACTATTTGGAAATCAGTTCGGTACTATTTGGAAATCAGTCCGGTACTATTTGGAAATCAGTTTGGAACTATTTGGAAATCAGTCCAGTACTATTTGGAAATCAGTCCAGTACTATTTGGAAATCAAACGTCGCTCAGCTCAATGTACAGTACTTGTGATTTTAAGAAAATCAAGCATGTGTAGGATTCAGTTGTAAAAATGTTATTAGTATGTTGCAGTAATATATATTATAGTTTGTTAATAAAACAGTTATGTCATGGGTGTTTGTAGAACAGTAAACTGTTGTCCCTCGATATCAGGGATGACATTTGGAACTGTTGGAACTATAGTATATATAGAAGGCATTAGGTTATAATTGGAAATGTTGCACTCGACCTTTGGCCTCTGGCAACAGTTCCAGAATACAGTTTCATGCCATTTTAAATAGTACTTCAGGCAGAACTAGAAATGTGTCAATGGGTTATACCACATCCCACTGTTTTGTCAGTTAACAGACAGATGCGATCACTGACTAAGGGCATACAAAAATAACTTGAGTAAGACCACCTGACACCCTTGCAGCAATACAAAATTACGTGGGGATGTTATCAAAAGGGACCAATTTAAACAGCTAAGCTACAGACGCCCCCATTTAATTTATAAATAATTACCAAAAGCTGAGTACGACATGTTTGGAGCATGACCAACATTTTGTGTCTGGGTTATGGCGCCAGGGTTGCTCAACGTCACCACAAGTTTTCTCCCTTTGAACACACTCTGGTCCAAGTTCTCCATGGCGACCATCGCATGTTCTACGTTACAGAAGTCAGCAAAGGCATATGTGCTAAAAATAGACCATACAAAATAGTACATGACATGAGCAATGGAAATATTTTTACCTACTCAATAATACAGTGTAACTTCCGAATTCCGGAACTTCTGAAATCCGGAAACTTCTAAAAACCGAACAATTTTTTCGGTCCCGATTTTTTCCCTTCTATTTTCTATTAATATAATACTTCTGAATTCCGGAACTTCTAAATTCTGAATTCTGGACGATATTTTCGTGAAATTAGAGTCAAATCAATGCAATTTTACCTCCAAAAACCGGAAATATCCAATGGTGTGAAATACATTGTAAATCGAGAATATTTACCCTGCAGGAAGATTTAATCTCCCTATCGATTGTTTACTAATTAGCGGTGATCGTGTAATTTGACACGCGTTAAAATCACAAACTGTGAAATGGTATGTTTGAAGTGATGCCGTTAATCAAAGTAATTTACGTCGGTCAGTTAATTTGAAGTGTTTATTAGCGGATTAAATGACAATAAATTGGACAATGTATGCATCAAACGTCTTTAGGGATTTTATTGCATTTTATGGGGTACCGCATTTTATGTAATAATTAATTAACTAGCATCGGACGATATGTAAGTTTATGCAATTAACAACATTTCTACAAACTGATAGAAATTCAAAAGCATTTGCAGGTAAGATAAAAATGTATTCTTTTCATGCACATCTTTATCTTGATTAAAAGACTATTATATATGATATTACAGTAATGGCCACATCTTCCTTGACATTTAGTGACATTAAGTGGCTTAGTCTTGTCCACATTATCATAAACCTCTGAATTCCGGAAACCTCTGAAATCCGAACTTTTTGACAAGTCCCATGGGTGTTCGGTTTTCGGAAGTTACACTGTATATGATTTTACCTATTCAATGATATACATTTTACCTATTCAATAATATATGATTTTACCTATTCAATAATATATCATTTTAGCTATTCAATAATATATCATTTTACCTATTCAATAAGATATCATTATCCGAGTAATGTTAAACATGATTGCATACCTCACCTGATGACTATAACCAAACTTCTGACCATTGTGTCAGGGAATCACTGCTTTAAGTCAACAGTCTTAAAGCTGCAAAGCCCCAGATGAACAATAATTCTCTTTTATCTACATTTTCAAAATTTTCATGATAATCAGCATATATCTGGAGGCATGCTACTTTAAGACTATTGTTTTCTATATTTGTACACATGCCAAAGATTGGCCACATATGAGACCACAAAGCTTTAGGCTATTGTGTGCTGTTTTATTTTGGTGTTACAGTGAATCTGCTGTAGAAGTATATGTTCACTTTAATCACACAAGAAAAACTTCTATGAAACAGTCTGTAGGTCTCCATATCAGAAACTATCTTAATATTATATTAATGTTGAAAAATAATCTGCAGCAGTGTGATTGGGTGATGGGCAATAGGAGGAAATAATTATCTAGAATATACCTTGGCTCTTAATGGATTCAGGCCAAGGCCCTGGGACTAAGACCCCAGAAACTCCACATTTTGTATTTTAAGCACTATAAAACACCCAACAATGTTATTTTGCAGGGTCCAAGCAGCTACTTAAAACATGATATCAACTATAAACATACCAAGACTTCAAATTTTCCCGTTTTATACTTAACAAATGGCATTCTAGAATGATGGGCCTTTTTTTTTTTTGGAAAAGTAGGACATACGTGAATAAATGTAAGGAAAAGTAACAAGAGGGCCATGATGGCCCTGAGGTCGCTCACCTGTATATAGCCCCCCCCCCCCGGCCAATTTTTACCCAAGGGCTTTTATTTGTTTATTTCAACAAACTTGGTAGATACCCATAAGAAGATGTTTCATGCTAAACATCTAAGTTCTAGCTCTTTGGGTTTTTTAAAAGAAGATTTTTTAAGTTTTTACTTATATACACATATAGTTAAAAACAATGACACCCCTGGGGCAGGGCCAGTTTTGACCCCCGGGCTTTTATTTGAACAAACTTTGTAGATATTTACTTAAAGATGTTTTATGCTTAATATCTTAACTGTAGCTATTTGGGTTTTTTCAAAGAAGATTTTTAAGTTTTTGCTATACACATATAAGGAAAATCAATGACCCCCGGGGCGGGCCAGTTTTGACCCCAGGGCTTTTATTTGAACATACTTGGTAGACACCCATTAGAACATGTTTGATGCTAAATATCTTAGCTCTAGCTCTTTGGGTTCTTTAAAAGAAGATTTTTTAAGTTTTTACTATATGCATATAGGGAAAATCAATGACCCCCTGGGGCGGGGCCAATTTTCACCCAAGGGCTTTTATTTCAACAAACTTGATAGACATTCACTAGAAGATGTTTCATGCCAAATATCTAAGCTCTAGCTCTTAAGGTTCTTTAAAAGAAGATTTTTTAAGTTTTTACTATATGCATATAGGGAAAATCAATGACCCCCTGGGGCGGGGCCAATTTTGACCCCAGGATTTTTATTTGAACAAACTTGGTAGACATTCACTAGAAGATGTTTCATGCCAAATATCTAAGCTCTAGCTCTTACAGTTCTTTAAAAGAAGATTTTTTAAGTTTTTACTATATGCATATAGGGAAAATCAATGACCCCCCGGGGCGGGGCCAATTTTGACCCCAGGGCTTTTATTTGAACAAACTTGGTAGACACTCACTAGAAGATGTTTCATGCCAAAATATCTTAGCTCTAGCTCTTTGGTTCTTTAAAAGAAGATTTTTTAAGTTTTTACTATATGCATATAGGGAAAATCAATGACCCCCTGGGCGGGGCCAATTTTGACCCCAGGTTTTTATTTGAACAAACTTGGTAGACATTCACTAGAAGATGTTTCATGCCAAATATCTAAGCTCTAGCTCTTACAGTTCTTTAAAAGAAGATTTTTTAAGTTTTTACTATATGCATATAGGGAAAATCAATGACCCCCCGGGGCGGGCCAATTTTGACCCAAGGGCTTTTTATTTGAACAAACTTGGTAGACACTCACTAGAAGATGTTTCATGCCAAATATCTTAGCTCTAGCTCTTTGGGTTCTTTAAAAGAAGATTTTTTTAAGTTTTTACTATATGCATATATTAGGGAAAATCAATGACCCCCTGGGGCGGGGGCCAATTTTGACCCAAGGGCTTTTATTTGAACAAACTTGGTAGACATTCACTAGAAGATGTTTCATGCCAAATATCTAAGCTCTAGCTCTTACAGTTCTTTAAAAGAAGATTTTTTAAGTTTTTACTATATGCATATAGGGAAAATCAATGACCCCCCGGGGCGGGGCCAATTTTGACCCCAGGGCTTTTATTTGAACAAATCTGGTAGACACTCACTAGAAGATGTTTCATGCCAAATATCTTAGCTCTAGCTCTTTGGGTTCTTTAAAAGAAGATTTTTTTAAGTTTTTACTATATGCATATAGGGAAAATCTATGACCCCCTGGGGCGGGGCCAATTTTGACCCCAGGGCTTTTATTTGAACAAACTTGGTAGACACTCATTAGAAGATGTTTCATGCCAAATATCTAAGCTCTAGCTCTTAGGGTTGTTTAAAAGAAAATATTTAAAGATTTTTCTTTCGGTTGCCATGGCAACCAGAGTTCTGTATGGAATTAAATTCTTTGACCAATTTTTAAAGGTGACCACCAAAGGAACATTCCTGTGAAGTTTGGATGAAATTGGCTCAGTGGTTTATGAGGAGATGTCATTTAAAGCAAAAGTTTACGGACGGACGACGGACGGACGACGGACGGACGGACGGACGGACGAAAAGCGATCACAAAAGCTCACCCTGTCACTTTGTGACAGGTGAGCTAAAAAGAGACAGCCTACGTAAGCTGGTGGTCAAGATATTGAATCCTATACAGGTTGGTTTTCCATAAGCTTTTGCATATTTCTGTTACAAAATTTGCCATCCTTATAAGTTATAGAAGATATGTTACAATCTTACCTCCTTGTTGATATATCATTGTTCATTATTGTGATTTTCTGTGCCCCAAACATTCCTAGTATCTCCATCAACTCATACTATATAAAAAAAATTTAAAATAATTATCTATAAAATAATATAGATTGAAAATATGTATTGTACAAATATAATAAGATAATATTTGCTTGTGTTTATCACTTGGCCCTTACATATTACATACCTGTGTTAACTACTCGACCGCTTACATATAACTTGCTTTCACAAGGTGGCTGTGTTGACCACTTATCATATCTGGTTGTGTTAAACACTTGATCACTTATCATATCTGGTTGTGTTAAACACTTGACCACTTATCATATCTGGTTGTGTTAAACACTTGACCACTTATCATATCTGGTTGTGTTAAACACTTGACCACTTATCATATCTGGTTGTGTTGAACACTTGACCACTTACCATAATACCTGCTTGTTTTACGCACTTGGCCCCTTACATGTTATATGTTTGCTTTAGCCAATAGGCTGATTACACAAAATCTTCTTCCGTTCACAACTTGTCCCCTTATGCATTATTTGTTTGTCAAAAAAATGCATTAACTACCAGGCCCTTTACAATGTATATAAAATCTGCTTATGTTTACCACTTTCCTCTTTAATAATATCTACTTGTGTTCACATTTTACACACATTACTGTATTTATTTAGAATCTATATCAATAATGCTGAATCTGAAAAAAACCTTGTACAAATATTCATAAAACATACCTCATTAGTTCCATATGGGAAATTCCCTACATTAAGTTGTACAGGAATGTAAGATCTGCCCCCGATCTCACCACTAGTTGCCTGTTTTATTGCTGAGATTTCCTCCAGCACTGGCATGTCGGTATGTTTCGACCTGCCTGGTCCTCCCGGTATAGCCGGTGAGTACACTGGTTCAAGTGGCGGCATCTCATCAGGTACACTTTCTAGCGGAGGCATTGTACTATAGGGAGAAGCGGGTGTCTCCAAAAGTGGCATACTCATGTTTAGTTTCGGTGAATTATTCACCTTGGGTGAATGGTGGTTTCTGTTTGATGTCTTGCCACCAGAAAATTGTTCTGGTTGTTTCCCTGGACTGTGAGTGTCATCATTATTACTCTGTGTTTTGTCACCTGCAACATCAAGTACATTGTCAATAATTTATAAATACAAAAAGGTCTGTTTTGAATAACAAGCATTTCTGGAAAAAAAATCATTGTTTTTATATTTTCAACATTTGTTTTTTTTAGTTCGTTTTACATCCCTTCTGGCTTTTTTTTGAAAATAAGTTTCATGTGATATTTGCTATTGTGACTCACGACGGGACAATGATCGCAGAAGTCCATTCAGTGGAAATGGCAGACTTAATAACGTTATTGTTACAATGTGAACATGTTCCATCAGTGCGTTCAAATATACATAGCGGCACGGGTATGTAATAAGTTAAAATATCAAGCATACCTTTCTTATACCCAGGCCTACATTTCAGATCTCGTCCTTTGAAAACTGTGTTGTTAAGGTCACTCACCACTTTTTGAGCATCTCTCTCGTTATGCAAATCAACAAAGGCAAACCTGAAATAAGACACCGATACTCGTTATATAATTATTTCCAAAAACAACAAGGAATTATTACAAGTGTTTAAATGGAATTTTGAGCTGATTTATAGCATTTTGGTTGTAACTCAGCAGTCAGTTTACCTAACTAGGTTTCCTGACTAGTAATTAATCCTGGATAACTAACTAGTGATTAATGCTGGATAGCTGACCAGTAATTAATCCTGGATAACTAATCATTAATTAATCCTGGATGACTAATCATTAATTAATCCTGGATAGCTGACCAGTAATTAATCCTGGATAACTAATCATTAATTAATCCTGGATAACTAATCATTAATTAATCCTGGATAACTTAACAGTAATTCATCCTGGATAACTGACCATTAATTAATCCTGGATAACTAACTAGTAATTAATGCTGGATCACTGACCAGTAATTAATCCTGGATAACTAACCAGTAATTAATCCTGGATAACTAACCATTAATTAATCCTGGATAACTAACTAGTAATTAATGCTGGATAGCTGACCAGTAATTAATCCTGGATAACTAACCATTAATTAATCCTGGATAACTAACTAGTAATTAATCCTGGATAGCTGACCAGTAATTAATCCTTGATAACTAATCATTAATTAATCCTGGATAACTATTCATTAATTAATCCTGGATAACTAACCAGTGATTAATCCTGGATAACTAACTAGTAATTACCAAATTTTCCACATGTGACAGACTACTTATCCATCATGATTTCTGAATCTGTGGTGAGAGACAAATGACCATTAGAATTGAGAATCAAAGTCCAAGATCAAAGAGAAGTTTGGCCTTGCCCCTGGATTCAACTAACTATCCTTGGATTTGGATTATGAATGAGATGCTCTCCCTACCAAGCTCAGCACCTGGCCATGAATTAAAGGTTGATCTATACCTTAAAACACAATATTTCTGACATACACCAGGACAGACGGACACCTAGCAGCTTAATGTAATTTAACCATTTGAGAGTATCTTAAACTAAAACATGTATATTTATTTTATACTTACTTCTTCATACTGGAATCTTTTGACTGGAGAATTCTGCACCCAATACAGTCATAAGGGCTCAACAATGCCTTCAGATCATTCTGAAAAGGTTATAATAATGTTAAAATGTTTGCATCAAGGCATTTTTTCATTTCACATTAGAGAATGTTTTAATAGAACATATAAACTACTTCACATTATTCATAAAACATTCAAAACATCACACTGTTACTATTTATAGACCATAACAAACAACACAATGTTACTATTTATAAAATATAATCTACAAACTGTTACTATATTTAGACATAGATAGGAAAATGTTACTATTTATAAACATACATGTATAAACTACACAGTGTTACTATTTTTAGACATTATAAACAGGAAAATGTTACTATTTATATAAAATATACAAACAATGCATTGTTACTATTTATAGTTACCTCATCTGCTGCGTTTGGCCAGTTGCCAATATATACTTGAACAGGTGACATCATATTGTCTGAAACAGGATATGACATCTCAATGTTATATTCACTGTAATATATTTTTTTACAGCACAAAATGTACGTAATTTGGCAAAGTTTCTAGTCGAGGCATTTACTGTAAGATACATTGTATGAAATACATAGCAAGTACAGCGATAGTTATTTCCCTTAGTACTGAACAAGAAATAAGCTGGAAAACACTGCCACTTTACAGGGCCAGCAAAATCAATTGTCTGTATTGCCCAGGTTGTCCCACAGCCTGTACGGACAAGTGAAGATTTTCAAGAATTAACTATGTAAATATCATACGGAGAGGTTAAAAAATGCTTCACATAAAAACAGACAAGTAAGTCAAAATCAGATTTTGACGGCCCTACTTTGTGTGCACCACACTACATAAACAAAACTCCCAAAAATATCCAGCCTGCAGTCATACATTACTCCTAAACAAGAATTTTGATGCCCGTACTAACACTTACGGAGTAAAATACTACATGTACAATATTACTTACCCAACATCTTAGAGCCAATTTTTCCCGACAGTCTATCTTCAATATTTCTATCAGAGCTGGCATCTCCGCGATTTGTTACTTCATGTATGGCGTTATTTCTAAAATGTTTGTTTTGTGGTGAACTGTCATATTTCTGGGTGTTTGTGTTTGACATACTAGAACTACCTCTATAACCACCGGGACTTGATTTCTTCGCCTGTTGATGACCTATATCATCTTCGACATCATCCCAAGTTTCATCATCGCCATAATCTAATTTTTTATTGTTCATTGTCTTATTTCCCCCACCGTTAACCATGCGAGATCCTGACCCCTCACCTCTGACTGCCCCCCTTCCCTCGCTTGACGGTTTTTTGTTGCTTTTGTTTCTACCACCGATTGTATCAGGCTTCTCGTCGGCACGCCTTAATCGTAACTCGTCACCATATAACTCGATTGCTTTCTTGGCTACGTGTTCTTCCCTAAACCGGACAAATGTTAACCTGTAAATAAATAAGAATGCTACTATCTAAACATTACATTAACCTTTTTAACGAAATGAAATTACTAAATGGGCTTTATTAATTTTTTTCTTTGTATGGTTGAGTAACTTGAGTTATCCCGGATGATGATTTACCTTCTGAATGTGTGTAATTGATTTACCCAGCATAGAATTTGGAACAGTCCATTCATACTTACGATTTCAATATCAAATTACCAAAATTAAGCCATCGACAGTACTGAACCCAGTCGGACTGCACGGAAGTGCAAACTGGCTTGGCTCTTTACCGGTGGCAAAAGCTAATCAGTTTAGGTTCCAAAAGGTTACAGTAGTACTTACATAGTAATTTAATTCTGCACTTTTCAAATATTTCATTTCCATATAAATGTATTTAAATGTGACCTTGAGGGTTGAGACCTGGTTGTTGCGCTCTACATCTTATAATGGTGACCATTTGTGCTTAGTTTTAAAAAAAAAAATTTTCATAAGTTTTAAAGTTAAAGGGTGTACACAAAAATGTTATTAAGACACACTGACAGACAAGCAACTGAAATGGGATAAGGGGCCATTGGCCCTTTATTTTATTGTTATGGAATGAATCTTATTGTTCTCTTTTTCAGTTAGATGGTAGTGCGAATGGACAAAGGCCATAATAATAAAATCAGTAATAATACATACGCTGTAATAATGTTTACGTCTACCACCTCCCCTAGTTGAGCAAACTTCCTAAAAACGGCCTGAAATCATAGGTATTATCAAGTAATTATATTAAGACTATCATTACAACTATGCAATATCATAGATATACATTGTTCCATGTTGTCAAAACAAAATTAATACCCTAAAATCATACAAACAGCATTGAAATAAATATATAGATATATATATTTATATTTATATAACAATATCATACAAAAAACTTAAAATCATACATATAGCCTTGAAAATAAATATATTTTATATCTGTTATCTTGTGATTACATGTGAAATCATATCAAATATATTACAGATTCATACAAGTAGACTAAAATCATACAAATAATCTTGAAACATACAATTAAGACCCTCAGGCCCAAAAATAGCCAGAAATGAACAGAAGAGGAACATTAATTTCCTAAAAGACTTCCAGGCCATACAAAACCATATATAAAGCAACAATTAATGCAATGAATGACATATTAAAAATTAACAATGCATTTATAGAGGAACAAAATAGAAACATTCTACCCTACCTCTTTTGTTGTTAAATTGTTGTCAATTTTATTGGGAAAACATAGGGAATACACTCCCCGTGAATTTGGTTCCCATTTCTCATTTAGATCATTTGACGGCTTGATTCTCTCCCCTTCTCTCCCCTTTCTCTCCCCTTTACTAATAGTCTTCACAGTGGAGTCTGATTCAGTATTACATGTACCCTCTGCCCTCTTCACAAATGAAGATACAAATGTGTTGGGTTTGGCAATGCCGAACAACTTAAACGCCATGCTCTGATCCGAGTATTCCAGTCTGTAGAAAATGAAATTGCAACTTTATTCATATTAACCAATTTATTATCTACAAGACAAGTATATCAATTCAACAAATACAAATGAGCCGCCTCATGACAAAACCAATATAATGGGTTTGCGACCAGCATGGATCCAGACCAGCCTGCGCATCCGAGCAGTCTGATCAGGATCCATGCTGTTCGCTATCAGTTTCTCTACTTGTAATAGTGTTTATAAGCAAATAGCATGGATCCTGATCAGACTGCGCGGATGCGCAGGCTGGCCTGGATCCATGCTAGGCGCAAACGCATTACGTTGGTTTGGTTGGTCATGGCAGGGCTCAAATCTATTTTAGCTTAAAACAATACAGATATAATTCTGTAATTATGTTGATCAGATATTAAGTGATAATGGATTTTTTATCTTATATTTTTCTCTGTGGCAGAGTGATTATGGTCAGTGACATCAAACTACTAATGCCTCTCACTACTGTTGGTTCAAATGCTGCCAGACTCCAGAGACATAAGGTTCTTGCATGTGTGGTAGCTACCCAGTGAGCTCGTGCCCATGCCTGTGACTGAAATAATGTTAAGAGAGGAAAACAAGTTCTCCAACACCAGTGAAGCTAGAAAGTGGCCGTATCACCTTAAATATTTACATTTCTGGCAGCTAAAGAGTCAACCTGCAATGATCTATGAAATGACTACACTACTAGTGGTCAGTGATTTTTTTCTCAATTTTCAACACTGATATCACACACCAAGTGGCCAAGACCTACATTTTAATTTACTGACTTAGTCAAGCATGATCTACCTCAAACCAGTTGCATATGTTAAATGAACTTCCTATCCTGATAAAGTGCTGAGATTTAATTGCCCTTTGTTCTCTAGCAACATGTTACAAGTTTTTAAAATTTACAATTTTAATCAATATTTACAAGAACAACTTTATGATACAATTGTATCAACTTTCTGGTAACACTTTTCAGACAGTTGACTGAACTTTCTATAAAGAAGAGCCTATGTGACCAAAGTTAGGTACAAGAGCGCATCAGAGGTTGGGTATATAATAGTAAACAAAGAATTGAAAATAACAATTTTTATACGTAATTCTATCCATACATTAGGGCTGTCATTGATTATCGCGATATCCATATATCGTCCATATTCATCATCCGATACAATATCGATACACACTTTCACATATCGATACAAGCCAAACAATTTTTTCATTTCTGTTAGTTAATATACCACTATTTTGGCTTATAAGAAAAGTCTTTTTTTTTTCTAGTTTTCTTGGTTAACTTGAACTTTAAACTCCGTTTTCAACTGTCAGTGACAAGAATAACAGAAAAAACAAACTTTCTGCTAGTTTGTAGTATTTGTAATGTGTAATACAAGCATGCATAACACCATGATCCAATTTATAACACATATATAAATGTTTTTCATTGTATCTACTGTCAGTCGACATATTGATGTATCCTCGATATTTGTCTCTCGATATATCGATACAAAATTTTCCATCAATGACAGCCCTACCATACATATAAACAAGCATCGAGTAGGACGAGTAGCTTCTAAATCCAATGTACAGGCAACATTTTTCTACTCGTCCTGCATCAAATTCTGCAAGTAATACGAGCAGTCAAACGGAATGTTGGATCTATGACAAAGTATGTTTCAGATGTTCCTTTCTGCCTATTTTTTGTCATACAGCAACTGTCAGTCCACCTAACCAGCTTTCCTGGATAATTAACCAGTAATTAACCAATTTACTCAGCAAATGATCAACTACTACATGATTTCTAAATCAGCTGTAAAAGACAAATTGATCAGTTAGACTCAATGCCCCAAATTAATTGTTGAGAATAAAATTTCGCCCAGCGTGTGCATCAAACCAGCTGCCTGTCAATTACAAATTTGTTATTCTTAACAAAAAGTTACATCTAAGCCAAACAGGAAAAGGCATTTCAAAGCTATTTATAGATTATATATAAATTACCTGCAAACATCCGGTATATCTTTGATAAATTTCTCTAACGATGGGTACCCAAGATCTCGGAACATCAGAGGCTTGTGTATGATTGATTTATAGTCCCTGAGAAAGGTGCTGACCAGGATACCAGAACCGTCCGTCTTCGAGAGCAACACTGCCCGTACATTCTCCTTAATACCGTCTGGGATATTACTCATTCTTTATATGTAACGTCTATATCTTCTGTCTACAAAATAACAATAAAAAAATGTATTTCAGTGAATTTTAAACAAAATAAATTATTTGTATATTTCTTACCTCAAAATAATATAACAGAGTATTCAATTGGATATTAATAATTTAAATGTCTCCTGCCTTTGGTAGATATAGAAAGTTAAAATTAAAAAATGGGTCAAAGACAGAAAAGGCCGGGTTGCATTTGTACACCAAATATCATGAGGCTGATTTGTTACGAAAAAATTTTTCCATTGACCCATTAATGTCGAAAATTTAATTCTGTTGGTAAACAGGTAGTGGATTAGCTACACACCTAAAATTGAATCCCACAGTATGGGACCATGTGTCAATGATGTATGCCAAATATCAAAAGGCTGTGATTAGTAGTTTATGAGAAAAATGTTACGAAAATTTCCTTCCATTGACCATTAATGTGAACATGAAGTGGATGAGCTGCAGACTTGAAATTGAATCCCACAGTATGGGACCATGTGTCAATGCTGCATGCCAAATATCAAGAGGCTATGATAAGTAGTTGCTGAGAAAACTGTTACGAAAATTTCCTACCATTGACCATTAATGTCGAAAAATCTAACTAATTTAACTAAATGGATAAACAGGAAGTGGATGAGCGACAGACCTGAAATCAAATCCCACAGTATTGGACCATGTATAAATGCTGTATGGCAAATATCAAGAGGCTGCGATACATAGTTGTTGAGAAAACTGTTACGAAAAATTTTTCCCCGCCCACCCGCCGCCCGACATTCACCATACTATAACCCGGGTTTGCACCTGTGCAACCCGGCCAAAAATTACACATTGTTAGAGTACAGCACATTCAACGACTTTGAAAACGATGCGAGTATTTCTAAGACAAACGAGTTATTAATGAATGGCAATTACAATAAGTATACCGACCTTCTTGATGGCATTATTTACAACATTACACAGAAAAAAAGGAACACTACAGTCAGCTTTGTGTCCCGCAGTTTGTTTCATCTTTACACAGAAATAATCAAATCTGAATATGGTTTAATTACAGATGAAAATCTCAAGTACAGTTCATACGTCAATGGAGTAAAATGTCGTATTTCTGTTGACAAACCAGCAGGCTGCATTCATGTAATGGGAAAGGAACATAACCAATGGTTGAAATTAACTTTTGTTAAAACAATAAAGGGTCTGCTAAAGACATACTTGGATCATTCTAAACTTTTATAAATTTTCCAATACTGTACAGAACTGTTTTTTTTATCCAATACTGACCAAAGTAATTGTATTAAATTTCTTTTAACTTTATCATTATTTTTATATCAGTGGTGTGACATAAGGCCATCTCCTTTATTCTGGTAATGTTTTATTTGTTACAGGTCTAGTCCAAAACTTTAATGCTGATCAGATGAAAGAACAATATTAACAATATTAGTCCAAATTTTTTCGGGTGTATAAAAAGCAGTTTCTGAAGTTTTTAAACCTAGATCTTTGAGAGGTAAAAGTTATACAGGACTTTCATATTTTATTTATTTTAGAAAAATACATAAATTTAGAGATTAATAATTATTGTACTTTTCAAAAACAGCATAACATTTCGATTTTTTCCATTAAAATTTCTGTTTTGAAAGGGAACTTTTACCTCTATTTTGGTGTGATAATATGCCACAGATTTGATACGTCGAGGGCCAAGATTATGCATAATTGCAGGATGCATTACCCAAATGTTACCATGATGTGCCATTTTGAAAGAGTTAAAACTGAAAATAGTGTTCTACCATGGAGTTGAATAGACTATGTAATGTATATCTGTGGTTCTACTGAGTTAAAACACACGTTGGGCTTACGATCTTTGGAATTTTACATGTCTGAATTGGATCTTACATGCCCCAAGCATCGACTGAGTGCCCTATTTAGCAGAATGGTGTGGAGCATTACCAGTGTATAGAAAATACCCGATGACACTGATTTGTCTCAAAATTTCCCTGGCGCACAATTTTCGGGCCAGACCACAGGTGTTCACTGTTTGGCCCATTGATTTGTCACTACCTCCCAAACTTTTACCCATTTAACAAGCCTCGTTTTGGAGAGGTTGGATGGTTGTAGAGTGGGTAAAGGGGGATAGTTACCAATCAACACACCGAATACATGTGGACTAGACACAGATTTTTTTATTTTTTAATGCTAGAAATTAAGACCCAGTTCTTCATTGTTAGCATCTAATACCTTGAATCACCTGGAAAATTGCAAGTTAAACAATTATGCTGTTTTTGTCTATTAGAAAGAATTATTGGTTTATATGAATTATGATAGACTATCCTTTTTTCTTTTTTGCAGAAAAATGCGTTTTTATTTCCTGACCAAAGTTACTTTAAATATTGCATGACATTGCATTTTTTTCTTACATTAAGATACTTACAATATGTTTTGTCCACGGGTGTCTTGAATGTGTAGACGTTCTTTAAATTCCTCTTGAAACGTGCAATAAAATTTCACCGGATGCACTCGTTATATGGCGCGAAATCTATTTACGAATTAATGAAATGAATGTCGTAGCCGTCGCTTTCACGCAAAGTGAAGCCGTTTTCAATTTCATCCGAGATTATGCATGAAAAGATTCATGTAAGTCTCTCAGATTAACATTATTGTAGCCAACTTTATTGAAAACTTAAACTTTCATAAACCCAAATAACAAAAAAAAAAAAAAAAAAGAAGAAAAACAGTATAACAGTCAACGAATTAATTTAGTTGTCCACAGGCCTTTTTATAAAAAGGTTCAATCAGGGTCTTTCAAATTCTATTTGAAAGGCCCTGATGTAATTTAAAAGCATATTGCTTAGGATTTTTCATAACATCAAAATTTAAATTATAGAACTTTGATTCTATCTATATGGCAATATACTGCTGCACAATGGGAACGGAAACCGTAACAATTTACATACAGTACAGATAATTAATCCAGGTACATGTACCTACAATAATTAATGCACCGAGATGTCCACGATGCATGCCCTTAAACTAGTCCATCTTATTGTACTACGCGATGAGATATTGTGCTATTTTGTGTATTGGTAATATCTTCCCTCTACAAGAAGCGAGATTCTGACACAAAACAAAATATATCATAATCTAGCTTTGGAATGCCAAAATATCCTGACTAGCCATTATAATATTATAAGTCCATGCTGCCATTCAAATGTTGTAAAGAGTAGAATCCAACATGCTATAAAATCACTTAATTAGCAAAGATTTAGTGCTCTACTGTACATTCTAACACGACCCGCATTTTTCCCTATTGAACAAAGAAGAACCGAAAGTGTGTGTTATTTAAGAAATAATATATCCCAAACTGTGATTTTATTGCTCAATAACATCACCACAGGCGCTAGTCACATAATCAAATATTTTACATAATCGGTCTATATATTTATATAAATATCTTTATATACATATATAGACCGATTATGTAAAATATTTGATTATGTGACTAGCGCCTGTGAACATCACTGTTTGGAGTTCGGATGCGGGGAATTATATCACGAGGGCGTAGCCCGAGTGATATAATGATGCGCATCCGAAAGACAAACAGTGATGTTATCAAGCAATAAAATCACCGATTTGGATATATTATTTCGATTCTAACACGACATTTAGAAATAAATGCTGCCGTACATGATAATTAGCTAAATTGCGCCGGATTTGTTTCCGTACTTATTGTCATCGCGTCACATTTTTAGTGATTACGTCACGTGTATAATGATTACGTCACACGTCTAAATATAGAACGTCAAACAGTGACTCTATTGCATAATAATTCACACTTTCGGTTCTTCTATGTTCAATAGGGAAAAATGCGGGTCGTGTTAGAATATGCAATAGAGTCACTGTTTGACGTTCTATATTTAGACATGTGACGTAATCATTATACATGTGACGTAACCACTATAAAATCCGACGCGCTGACAATAAGTACGGAAACTAATCAGGCGCAATTTTGCTTAATAGCAGGTACGGCAGCATTTATTTGTTTATGTCGTGTTAGAATCGAAATAATATATCCAAATCGGTGATTTTATCGCTGGATAACATCACTGTTTGTCGTTCGGATGCGCATCATTATATCACTCGGGCTACGCCCTCGTGATATAATTCCTCGCATCCGAACTTCAAACAGTGATGTTATTGAGCGATAAAATCACAGTTTGGGATATATTATTTCTTAATTTTCATTTTAAGCCACATAATATTATATGGCTTACATATTAAAATTTTCATATCCCTTTTGACACAGAAAACACACAAGTTTACACATAGGGGCCTACGATATTTTGTATTGTGTGCTATCTGCAGTGAAGTTTCTTTCTTTATAATAGTCTACATGTATTATCGACGTTGTTCGAAAAAATTTAATGTTAAATACTATGCACACATGATCGTTCTTATGGGAACCCGTCTAATGTGTGTGGGCGTGACATATATACATGTATTAGATCAACAAGGCAAGGCAATCAATGAAAGCATTTCATTTTTCTTAGCGTTTTAGAAAATTCATATTTTTTTTACATTTTTGGCCTTCCGGGGACATTCATTTAAGGAATTATAATAATCAAGGACCTGGAAATTTCTTTTTTAAAATAATTGTCTCATCAGGAACATAAGACTGTTTTATATTAGTGGCCGCTGTCCTAATGATAAATATACAAATATAGTGGTGGTAAACAAATATGATTGACTTCAATTAGTAAATTCTTTTACTGTTAATAACTTGGCAAAATACATCATTCCGCGTACAAACAGATTTATTAAACAGTATCGTAAGTTTCCCTTTCTATTACATTTCTATATACTTATTACTCTTTGAATGGGAAATAACAAATCTTGGTGACAAAGTATATATATACAGTACATTGTAAAATAATAATCCTAAAAGAAAGTCCAAAACGGCAAAATTGAAAATGTTGCAGACTCGATTTGATTGAGCCTATTCATGGACATTACTGAAAAGTGCAAGCTTCTGTCCACGACCCCTAGCACCTGCTTAAGTTGTACTCAACATTTAACGTTGACTTCAAACCACTTGCCCCTCATCGCTTTGGGTCCGAGACCCGACAGGGCTTTGGATAGGAAGCTATCCAGCTAGCTTGCGGAATGTCGGTGGTTCTACTCTGGTTCCCGTTGGTGCCTGAAGTAACGCACGGAAGGGCCCCTGAGTTCTTAATCCACCAGTAAAGCTGGAAAATCTCTATAGAATGAAATAGAATAGAATAACATTTATTTCCAATCAAGGGTCATATCAAATGACCGGTGCATAAACAAAACGGAAAGCACCGAATAGCACCGAAAAACCGGAAAGCAATCAAATTTCTTCAGAAAACACATGATAACTTTATTTTATTGATTTGAAAGTGTTTCCAATCGAGTTATTAGGCCAAAATCAGTGACACAACATGTTTTCATAAATATCTTAAAGATCCTGTATGTTTTGTGATTGATATTTTTACTGTATGAATACCACACTAGCAAAAAATTATATATGTACATATTTATGCAAATAAAACAATTTTCAAACATTGAAGAATATGTAAAATGTGTACTGCAAATATTTTTGCACATTATATTTAATCAATAAATTACAGGCATTCATTTCTTATTGGACAATTTGACTTAGAATTCATAGAAAATATATTACTAATTACCTCCCTTTATTTACATGAAATGTTAAATTGGGTAATATCTTTATAAATAATGCTTATTGGAACTTACAATATTGACAAATCTTAATTTGAGCATCATATTTATGAAATGAAACCATGAAAAAATTGTGTTACAGGATCTTTAATGTGATATTTAAATCACAATAATACAGAGATAGAAGATCAAGTAAATTAAGATGTTAAAGAAAATAAAACTTGATTCGTATTAAAGCAATAACACTGAACTGGGAAAAAAACTCATAAGCTAAATTTCACTAACAGGACTTAACTACATGTGTATTAAACATGATACTAAACATATCCATATGACCTATACTGTCTTGGTGCTAGGTGAAATCCAACAACAACAAAAAAAATTCTCCGTACGTTAATTGTGACTCTGAGGGTAGTCAAAATAAAAATTTATTAAACATTTTATATTTATCATTGTGACGTTTTACATTTTATCTTATCAAGACTTTAAACAATTAACGTAACATGGAAAATTATAAGTATGTAAAAATATCAGATTAATGAAGGAGGGGTTGCTAGAATTGTAGAATTCCTGCGTGATCGTAAGAGGCGACCAAATGGTTCGAACAACTGGATTGTATGCATCTCATGGCTCCGGTAGGTTTTTATCCTGCTTGGCTTTGAGTTTGTAACACCTTAAGTTAGCCAAAATCATCTTTCCTGTTCGGGCGCCATAAATGACTAAATTGTGTTAGTGCGCCTTAATATAATAATAATAATAATAATAATAATAATAATAATAATAATAATAATAATAATAATAAAGAATCAGAGCTAAAAAGAGGTGTTCAATTCCCTACACTTTATGCATGGACTAGAATCAGTTATACCAAAGGATCGAAACAAATTTAATAAATTACACTCAGATGTACTTACCGGCCTGTTGTGAATATAAATAAACTTTCACGAGGAAGAATGAAAATTGCAACATATACAAATGCCACAAGAACCGTCTTAATCAGTATTCTATCTTCAATACATACAGCATTCTGATAAATTATCCCGATGGACCAGAATGAAAAAATAACTAACAGAACTAAGATGATGTAGACAAAAATTATTAGCAACATAAAGTAAAAGAAAAACAGAACCCCTAAAAAAAGTCAAACACGGCAAAATTTAATGTTGCAGGCTCGGTTTGATTGAGCCTGTTCAAGGACGGCACTGGAAAGTGCAAGTTACCGTCCACGCTCCCTAGCACCGGCCTAAGCAGAATTCCACATTTAAACACGCCAATTTAAACACACATATCTTCACTAGTTCAGGCATGAAATATTGCAAGGACATATCATATCATATGACCTTTACAATATCGGTTTCACACCCCTTGATACTTATATCTAAAGCATATAGTGTACTGATATTGTTTGAGGCACATTCACAATTCATTCATATACTGTACCATAAAAGTCAAATAGTGCTTGCAGACGACGGACAAAATATTTCAATACTCCAATACATATAAAATACAAAGTTATTTATATTAGTAAACTTTATTTTGAATATCATAATATCATTCACATATTAAAATAATCATAGAACTGTACATGTACCACATGTGGGCAGTGTAAACTATATTAAAGGAACTCTACTAATAGTAAAAAGCCTAAAGACATTAAATTTGGAAATTCTTATATAGATCAAGTGAATGAAATAATCTGCAAAGGCTAAGGAAGAAATACACTCAAAATTTTTGTGTGCGAATCTTTACCCAAATTGAGTGAAGGCGTTGCAATGCTTTTCATATTTGTGTCTTTTTGGACAATAAAAATGATTATTTGGGGGGTATGAAAATTTGCTCACAAGTTACTGGTCCAGACCTATATGTAAATGAAATGGTACCCAAATCTCGGGCCCGTCATGACAAAAAAACCTTAGAGTCCTTAAATTATACACTGCCGAGTGCCGACTGTCGCCTGTTACAGTTCCCGTGTCTCCTTTACACAGTCAAGATAAAATTTGACATTGTCATATCTCCCGCTATGTAAAAATAGTATCTGTTTGTGTATTTTATTGCTGGTCACTGTATTTACAAACTAGAACAGGCACGTGTGCATGATGAACAATATAGTCGCTAACACTGCCCAGTATGGTTCGTCTGACCACGCCCATTCCCCGACTCCCAGATACAATAATGTCAATATTGTGATCTTTTGCGGCCAGTACTATAGATTCACCAGCAGGCTCATGTAGGCGCTCCACTGAGTATTTCACCTGTATCGAAGATAAAAACAACAACACGTGGTTAAAAATGATAAAAAACATCAAACAAAGAAAAACAACAAACAAAAAATAACAAACAAACAAACAACAACAATGCACAACTAGATATAATTATAAGATGACCTTGTACTGTATATGTAACATTGATGCGCGGGAATTTTAATTTATATACTAGTATAGGCCTACTCCTTAAAGTGCTAATGATATAGTTAAATAGGACGACTTGTAGCACTGGACAAGATACTTAAACTGAGTGCTGTTTAAAATGTTGATAGTGTAGTACTCACGGACCTTAATTAGTACGAGATAGGTTGAGTACGTTAGTATATGTTTCTTTACTTTTTATTGGCTGTAACCCCTGACGGCGAAGGGCCCAGAAGGATTCTGGGTGATTCCTCTAGATGCAGCCATTTGTGAAACTAATCCGTCCATAAGCGAGGCATATTAGTGCATCCAGATTTAATATACAAACATCTAGATAGGTAAGTCATTAACTATATTTTGCAAGGTTCTACAATTCACTGGAAGGCTGCGTTCCATATGAACGTTGCTCTCTCCCTTTTTATGCTCACACATTTTTACATACGTACATGCGATACAATATCAATAAATCAATCGTATTAGTTAAAATGTGTGTACATAGCTATTAGAGGTTAGCATTCTATCGATCTATGAACAATATACAATAAGGACCCTTACAATATATTTTCGGACAGTTATAATAAATTATAAATAAAAATGTCTTACTACTGTTACAAGATCATATTCTTTATATTTTGTAATGTTCGAAGCGTAGCAAAAACAGTCGTAGTTAAAAAAATAATAGAGTAAAAAGCCACATTTAGATTATCCCGCCTATGACCAAAAGTCCTTATCCCGAAGTTTGACTGAATTACAAAGTTGCGTTTTGGGAAACTTTCGATAGTAAATGATGGCGTTGCCTTACATTATATTGTTTGACAATGTCATCAATGTTCTTCAAGACTTTCTGTACCTCCTCGTCATGTTCGGCTATCATGATGGGAACCACTCCAGGGTTTGCTAGCTGGGCAATTGCTGGAAAAAATAAGTATTTTACCGTCAAATGTGTCTCATTTTATATACATTCATACGGAACTATAATTAGGCTTATTACACTTTAAGAGACAAGACAATTAAAATTATTATTTTACGAATTTATCTCTTTGAGGAGGATATCATAATGCCGGTCAAATGTGATTAAATGAAATTTTAACTTCTTCTAACTTACGAGGCAGATTCGCTCCTAACTCAGCGCAGTAAACAATAATCAAAGTATCACCATCCTTGTAGAAATGCTCCATAAACCCTGAAAAAATACAAGGTTCCTTAAAGTTGCAATTGGTTCATTAATTTGTTTTACATGTATGTTATACAACATTCAATTTGTGACAACAATATATAACAAACGTAAGTACGACAACTATTTTGAGCATATTTTGTTTATCATTGAGTATTATTTACGTAATTTGTACAATGTTATAATTTATATCACAAACTCCTATATCTGCGCAGTCATTTTATATCACGGTTTAATTTGTCGCCTGTCAGTGTAATATGTGGCATTTGTCATAAATAAATTATGAATTTGCATTTTTTACATTTAGTCTCGCCAATTTGCAGTTTCCAAAATAAAAATAAGACAAACGCAAATTGGGCAGAAATGTTTAACAAGCGAATGACTGATGCACATACTTTAATGGACAATTTTGTCAATTAAAGTCCGTGGCTGATGGGAAGCATTATAAAGTTTTATTTAAATGAAAAAATATATAAAGTATGCCTCGTAGATAGCTACTTATATTACTGAATGAAATAAGTGAACAGTAACTTACAAACGAATGCATTAGTTGCGTGTTTGCTTCCGTCCATAGCAATCAAAATTCTTCGACTGTTTGTAGTAACTTCTGCCATTTTTTCCCTCTCTCTCGATATTTGTGTTATTATTATATTAATTTAAGTATTATTACTATCTAAAACCAAAATCTTCTTAAGGCTACTTTTCCTTAATATCGCGTTTATTTTAATAACACTTCATAATTATTTTAACAACAGTTGACACTTAAATATATCATACTGCTGCTTTTGCGTTCGGAAAACTCCGCTGAGTGCCGAGTTACCATCATCATTGCCCGAAGTTTGACGGAAAGAGCCGAAAAGTCGCGATTGGCTGACTGATAAACTGATACTTTGGACTTGTTTATATGACACAAAACAAATAAATGGTTAAAGTCCTATGTACAAAATACTATTATATTAATATAAAACTGTTGCTGTTAAGTTGATTTAGGACGACAGTGTTGAAAACTTACATATATACACCACTTAATTAGTGTTCAGTAATAATTTACGGTCAAGCGATCACTGAACCTTTGAAAGAACTTGAATTACTACTGATATATCACTTTAAGTACTATGAAAGAGTGGATAGTCTAAAGAAGTAACAACTTTAAAACTTTAAAGATACCACATGAAATATATAAATATTCCCCATACCAAAAAAAGAGAAAAATCATTGAAACAATAAATAAATAAATAATAATAATGATAATAATGATTATAATAATAATAATAAAATGATAATAACAACAACAGTGACAACTAAAAACTGTCAGTGATCGCCGTGGCGAAGATATAACTCAGTCAGAGATACTTTGCAACTTACAAAAGAAGTAGCTATAATTCCTTTACAATGACATTGCATGTTATTTCTTTATGTATATAATCTTTACAGCGTAATTTAGCGTTATAATGGCTTTCAGGATTATCTGTCCCTTAAATAATGCAATGAACAAATATCTATTCTAATACATGTATTTCTTTTGTTCTCGCAGTCATTCGGAATTTGACGGAAAAGCAGCTATTAATCATCTATTGCCTAATAAGGTCAGATTAAATATAACAATATATATTATACGTATGTTTATTTAAAGCTATACACCAGGTCAATCACGTCTATCTTGATATTAAATATAATAAAGATAAACTTACACTCATAGTGATACATGTATAAACATAATATGAAATCATGATTTTACACACTTTTGTGTTACACTTACTTATGTAATATTGTTAATTATTTTTTTCAAATTCTGACTGGCTTAATCACCGTTTTTTTTTTTGCCATGCCAGCTTCCCTGATTCATGTGATCTGGTTCGTGTGTTCTGGTCTAGAAAAATCCACACTTAGAGTTTAATCAGGATTATCATATTTTATTGCTATAAACCTTGTACATGTAACATAAAAAGTACATTAAAGCTGCACGCCTCCAGATGAGCCAAAATATTTCAAGAAATTTAATATTGAGAAAAATGCACTAAACTTTTTAGAAAGATAAAAACAATGAGGATCAAAGTTATATTTTACATGTAATGTGCGATTTAAGACTGATTTTTCAGTATTTTATCAACATATTTCTACTGCGTTACTAACGCAGTAAGGGCAGTTTTTGCATTCTTGACCACTTTTTGTTTATTGCCGTGGATTGTAAGTGCCAATTGCAGTATGTATATCACATGTTTTGATCCCATCACAATACTTTACTTTTAAATACATTTCTAAAATTTTCATGAAAATTTGCATGAATCTGGAGGCGTGCTGCTTTAAATACAAAACGAAATACAAACCATACAGAAAAGACAAGTACGAGTATGGATGGGTCACAAGATTTACCAACATATAAAAAAGCAGATTGAAGCAAATTGGTTGCAATATTTACCAACATTAAAAAGAGAGATATCGTTACAAAATGTTTACTTTCAAGATACACACAAAAAAATTATTGTTTGCGTAAGTAATGTATAATAGCAAGAAACAAAGAAAATATATAAATTCAAGCATCAGAGTAGAAAACAAAACATTCGTTCTTTTAGAAAAAAAATCAAGTATATGTTTTAATTATTTATTATAAAAATAGGATTAAATGAAAATGATAAGACAAAAACAATGTGAGAATGTAAACAAATTAAATAATATATACAACTCGATATACTCTTATAATGATCTTTTTGATATATACCTCTCATTTTTAAACCACTTATGACAGGACCTTTGTAATTAGTTTTGTTTTACAAAGACCGAATTCGTTGCTACGTTGTATAAACGTTAACATCCGTCAGCTTTTTTTTTCTTTTTTTTAATCCCAAAACCATTAATACATAAGATATATAATATAAGCTTATGCTATCATTTTATGACATTAAAATCAAAATTTTGAAAATATATAGTTTTCTTTATAAATTCTTGGAAACCTCAAGGGAGGACACCCTTTATGCATACCTAAAACAACCTATACAACATGAAATTCACAAATCAAAATATAAAGAGTTAGTTTAATGGTTACATATATTTTTTCATATATATCAGCAACGTCATACAGCTATAAATTCCGTCTGCAATATGTATTTTACCTTCCAGGTATAAAATAATTAAATCAGATACATAATTATCGTCATTAGTTTTTGAGGTTTTATTTTTAGTTTAAAACCCAATAACAGTAATAGATTACGGATGTTATATTGTTATCTTACTGAAACATCATCACTGTTTCTCGGAATCTTTTGTCATCATCTTAATCATAAATTTCTTTACGGATGTTATATTGTTATCTTATTGAAACATCATCACTGTTTCTCGGAATCTTTTGTCATCATCTTAATCATAGATTTCTGCACCAATCTCATAGTTTGATTTAGTGTCACCCCTCCATCTATACACTGGTATCCTCCTTTCTTGGACTTCATGTTCACGTCATTCGTATCCTTCAATTTATTTTGATTTACTGGGGCAGGTCCAAAATCAATGGTACCAAGAACGCTAGAGAGGTCGACCTTTCTTTGAGCCGTTGGTGGCTCTGTCTGAAGATTTGCAAGCGATTCTGTTGCCATAGTAATCTTAGATTCTTCAACCTGTGCTGTCTCGTGCTTATTCGTATCCTTCAATTTATTTTCATCTACTGGGGCAGGTCCAAAATCGATAGTACCAAGAACGCTAGAGAGGTCGACCTTTCTTGGAGCCGTTGGTGTATCTGTCTGAAGCTTTGCAAGCGATTCTGTTGCCATAGTAATCTTAGATTTCAAATTACATTCTTCAACCTGTGCTGTCTCATCTTTATTCTGACTTTCATCTGACACTTTAGCTTGTCTCATTTTATGTGTTGTAGTTTTGTAAAGAGTTTTAACAGCATCGAATCTCATAGTTGTAATGTCCATAGCCGTTGCGGAACTTTTTGCCGTTGCTAAGCCTCGTTGATTTAACGTCAATTGTTTTGTAGTTTCTCCACGTTGTTGCCATCTTGTATGAAGTAGATTTGTTACTTCGTCTTCGTTTATAATTCTCTTGCTTGTTTTCAGCTCAACTATTTCCTTATCCACTTCTTCTTCAAATTTTTTCAACGACATTTCTTCTTTTGCCCCATAAATTATTATTTTAACCAGACAGTTTGCTTCCTCAAGTGGTATATATTGACCACCGGTTATATGTGCCACTGCCAGATAAAAATCCTTATATGCTTTTATACTTGGCTCACACCCAGCTACGTAAATTCCAATTCCTTTGGCAGCTAATGCTCTTGCAATTTCCATTGGGTCTAAACCAAGTGGGCAACCCTCAGGGAACTTATCTCGGAAGGCACCAAGACCATGTGGTGGTGCATCCGTAATGAATACACATATTTTAGTTGCTTCTTCGCGCCAGGATAGCTTCAACAAATCGTTCATTGCGTCGGCAACAGCTTCAGGTATATCACCGCCGCCACCAGCGTAACAGTCTCGCAGCCATTTCTTCATAGTTCCGACTGACTCAGTAAAATCATGTACTTGAGTTACAAAAGATTCTTCTACCGGTGGATGGTCACGGTATTCTATTAGAGCAAGATGCACGTCACAGTTCTCGCTTTCAACAATTTCATTTACGATCTGTACAATATTGTCCCTAGCCTCTGTTATGTAAGGATCCATACTTGAAGTACAATCTATTACAAACGCTAGATCTAATTTTGCCTCTCCTTTTTTAGCCAACTTAGTTGGATGAAATGTTGCCATTTTATTTCTTCTCTAGATAAATCACAACAATCGAATGAAATTATCACACCTTGAAAACGTTTCGTAAAGTATGTGTGAAGTTAATCTCCAACTACTATACTAAATACATGTATATTACTATTATTCCAGGTACTGCTCGTTTTAATTTACTTCCGTGTTGATACCCGACATATCATAAACTATTTAAACAATGTGTCTTCTATATCGACTTACTGATTAGTCGGCCTTAGTTTAAGGTAACATTTCTTCAATCCTTGTGCATAACTAAGCTAAAATTAGTTCAAACAATGGATAGTTTAAAAATAATATATTGATTGGATAAAAAGTATAATTATTGAATTCTGTAACGTTAAATGTATAATTTGACTACCGTAACGACACATTACTGCACCTTCAGCACTATTTTCTTCATATGTTAAACATCTAACATTTTCTTAAACCATTATTAAATCATTATTAAACACATATTTTGAATTAGAAATATGCATATCTGAGGCATAATGTCCCTTTAATTAAGGATATGATTTTATAAATATTTACACATGTTTAAAGATTAATAAGTTTTTAGTTTGTCATTGTACAATGTATATAAATAATACACCCAAGTTTCATAAGGTTTTTATTACACAAATATATAGCATGTTTATGGCAATGTTAAATTTATTGTTAACATGTTACTAATTTATTGTGTCGTCTTAAAGGATAAAACATGACCGCTTTTTACAATCTTCACTTTATTTCTACATTTTAACGCATTGCGTTGCATTAAGGTAAATGTCTTCATCGCACAAAAATTCCCATGTTATGGTAACATTTTCGACTAATTAATCACAAAGAAGTTTAAACACCCTAGAATTCTACAAGATAAACTCTGATAATATGGTTATTACTTACAATTCAAACAAAGTAAGAACAATTTCAATGGTTTTAGGTTCTGTTTATTTGTATTAAGGATTTAATTTACATGTATTTAAATATTGTTATTGGTATAACATTGTATTTAATTCAATTTTACAAGTACTTTTAACTTTGTTTTAGCAAAGGAAATATTTAAGTGCTCAAAAATTGTTTACTTGTTATCTGATGATCAGATTAGTACTTATTAACAAAAACTAACATTTGTTGAATTCTAACATGAAAAAGTACAAAAGCCCATCACAATCAGCACCGTCATAATACCTACAATAACAACAAAATATGAGAACAAAAATCGATCAAGGTAGGGCAGTATTCAATGAACGCATCTCCCACAAAAGTCAAGTCATTAAGGACCACTAATGAGGAAGACAGCAGGTCATCGAACAAAAATAGAAAAAGGCACAAGGATGAAGCACGCACGGCCAGCTGGGGAAACATCAGTAAAGGAAATCATAGAAAGTCAATAAATGCATTATAGAAGATAATTAAACAAAAACGTTCGGCATAGCGACAAGCGTGTACGGGAAAGGGACCGGTGGGCTAGGGAGACTTCAGGTGCTTAGTAACATATTTATTTCGTTCAAAAACATAGCATTGAATTGTCAGTTAATGAATTGCCATAGGGGTCTTTCAATAATATTGGGTTATTATTAAATAGAAATAAAAACAGTAGTTGTTGTTGTTGTTGTAGTTTATGTGACTGTTGAGCTGTTCACAAGTTGTCATCGTAAATATTTCTCTTACGTAGCAACAGTTCAGCATTTGGATCCTATCAACCAGTACGTCATTTCACTTCCTTTACCCTGAAACATTAGAATAAAATGCATACGTTTGAATAATGTTTGTCATAGAATTTAGGCATAGACCAAATTCTTAATTCGTGATCAAAAGGAAATAACTCATGTACCATAAATAAAAGACAGTTAGAGTTATGCCCCTACCTTTGTTTTTTTTAATTTTGACCAGTCCCCCGTCCCAGACCCTCGAGTCCCATTCAACCATTTACTTTTGTGGGCCTATTAATTAATCAATAAATCGTCTTCTTTAATTTCCTTGTCGGTTTCTATTATTATCATGTATTATAACAGTAATCATTCCGGGCGTGCTTTGCCTCGTGCCCTGTCCTGTTTTTGTTGATGTCTTGCTGGGCTTCTTGTCGCTAGTCCTGTGTTGTGTTGACTGAACACCGCCCTTCATTGATCTTGTTTCTTAGTGACAGTTGTAGCGAGTTACCGTTCGCTTCTCTACATCCTTTTAGCTGTTAAAATCTTTTCTTTTTATAAGCGTCTTAGTGTCCGGTAGAGATAGATGAAAAGCATGATGTTCCATAAATAATATACTATTGAGTTAAGTGTCTACGGCAATGTTGTGATATCAGTCAACCCCACCCTTCTACGTGCATATTTTATCATAATAAAATGATTGCAAAATTGGTATATTTTGATACAATTTATGACAAAAAGCATTTCCATATAAAATAACTAAATTAAGACAAAAGTTCCCCATTGAGTAAGGACATAGGACATTGAGTCTGAAAGTCATTATTTGCCTCTCATCCATGATTCGATTAGAAATAATGTGGAATTAGTAGTACAATCTGGAAGAAGGGTGATTTAAGTCACTTCTGGAGAAAATTGTAATAGCTGGTAAGTTATCCGGGAAAGTCATGATATGGACAAAAATGTGTTAAAATAGGCTTGAAAATCAAACAAACAATTAAATGATGTGTGATGCATTGTTAAATCACGTTTAAAAAGACAATTTCATGATGAATACTTAAGTTCTTAGTATCTTAGCAACATATATGTCATACAGTGAATCTTATCTGTACTTATATTATTTTAATGGTCATAGAAATCATTTTATAGGTGAGTAAGAACGCATGATTTCCTTCCTTATATGGTAGCAAAGATAGCACATGCGGTTTTATACTCATTCTAAACCAATCAACGCTTTGTTACTTTACAATAATTCTTTATTATGGCTTATAACATGCGTTTCTCGTACCATTACTTATTTTCGCGTGATTAACTTTAACCGACCTTTATTTCTATTGATCCCCTCACTTCAGTTTGAAATTTGTCACAAAGGTCGAGAGCTGTCTTGGCGCTCTGGCTTAGATGAATCTTCATTGCTAAAATAAATTAAAAGAGGAAACCTGTTTAAGAAAAAGAACGAAATTCTCCCAAATCACTCTAAATCATTCCTCCATTGTTTTTTACACTTAAAAGGTACTCTCTTCATGATCAAATGTCAATAGGAAGAAGTAAACTAACAAATACCGCCTAAGTTGTTGTTTTTTTTTGTCAAAACGAAGACGTCGTCGTTTATCACCAATTTACAAATATTGTCGAACTTCAAACATGTTGGAACATACCTGTAGATGAATTACATAACTATCATTTATAAGTATAACTGCATTTTTGATATATACAAATTATACAAATGGCGTACGCGGCACATAGTGGTTAAGGTAGTTACTTTCAAACCATTTGACCTTCATTGCCGTGGGTTCGAGTCCCACAACATAATTTGGAATCTTTCATGTGAGGAAGCTTTCCAGCTAGTTTATGGAACGTCGGTGCCCGTTCGTACGGAATTGCAACTGAGGTCTTCCTACACCAATAAAGCTGGAAATTTGCCACATTACATCTACTACATATGTTGTTGCAACAATAGAAAAATTTTATCTACAACATTTGTTTGAGCTTGAGTTATATTCCTCACTCAACATGCATCCATTTTAAAGCGATACCACTGCCTTAACATTTCAAACATCATCAAAGCATATGCAAAATCACCATACCTTCACCAGTTGACTCCATTCTGCTTGCAATGTTTACAGTATCGCCAAATAAACAGTACCGTGGCATAGTTCTCCCGACCACACCTATAAATATACCTGATTATAGAATAGTGCAAAAAATAGTTCCTGATTTGCATTGATCTTGATCGACACGAAATTTATATCATGCTATGCAGTATTACACTGATCTTTACTTTTTACCATGTATCTTCATAGAATTTTGAAAGCTGTACTTTTACTAGGGGTGCTAATCAATTACCATTTTATCTCAATAGGGAAAAGCAAACCTCTTAACCTTTGCTTGCATTGGCTAATGATTAATACTATTATTTTAAAGAATCAAAACAATATTCTTTTCATTGACAATATGTTATAAATAAACTCATTTTTGACATAATTGATCAAAAGCTATTCTTCATGTTTGATTGATTTTTGCTCGATTTGTTTTCCTGTACATGACATTTCAAAAGAGATCTAAATGTTCATGAGTCGCTTTAATTTTGACATTTGTTGGTGATTCGACAATTTTTTTCTTACATACAACCAGTAACTACTGATACAAATAAATTCATCTTTAAAATTTTTATCTGTATCTTTATTTACTAAACAATTATAACAATAATATTAACGATCAAACCTTTTTAAGTTAACTGTTCTCTACGGTCAAGGGCATCCAATTCAACACCTAAAACTTTATATATTGTTTATTAAGTTATGCATTGTACTCATTTTGTTAACTTTAGTCTTCATGGGAGAAAAAGTCAAACCTGCTGCACATGGTCCAGTGTTGATACCAATCCTCAGTTGTAGTATTGTTTCCGGCTTGTGCTCTATTTTAAACTCTTTGGCACATTTTAGCAGGTCCAGCGACATTAAAGCAATCTCTTCGGCATGTCTGTGGTCGTTTCTAACAGGCAGGCCGCTGACAACCATGTATGCATCACCTATAGTCTCTACCTGAATTATTTACTACATTTATATGATAGCTGCATTTTATGCTTTATATAGAAACATCGAGATTTACTATAGGCTCGAGGCGTCCGTGGATGAGCAATTAGGTTGTATGAATTCAAACATCGTCTCCTTACCGTTGTGAGTTCGAATCTCTGTTTCATCTAGAAGTCGCTATTTACCTTAGCATGTATCATGCTTGCTGCAACAGATTTTAACCATGCAACCAGTGCAGATTAATATCAGTCCTCATGCCAATGTCACTTTACTATAGTCTGCACAGTTCCCAATTCAGTCAGTAAATATTTTCAAGTTTTCCCTATAAATGATTTATGACTTTGTCCAGATTAAACGATGGACAAGCCCATTTAAGATTTTTAACATGGTAAGGGTTAATTGTGTCTATATTCCTCAACACTTCAAAGTACATGTTCATGAAAATTATTTTTAGATATGCATTTCTTAGTTATTATATAATCACACATTACCTTGTAGACATCACGTTGTGATATTCTTGCATCAAATGCTGAATACAAATCGTTCAAAAAGTCCACTATTTCTATCGGAGTACTTTCTGACGACAAAGCAGTGAAACCGACAATATCCGAAAAATATATGGTTACATTTTCAAATACTTCCGGTCTGACAATTTTCCCACATTTCAAATCTTCAGCAACTGTCCTGAAACAAATAAACCAGATGAAATAACTTATCAAATGCTAACAAAGAACTAGGGCTGTACAGAGCTTTATATCACCAGACAGGTGGCGATCCTTTCTGGTGCACAAATATTGGCTAGTATTCCAATCTGACTAATCAGTTTGCCATTGACGATTAAATCTGATCGATACACGGCTCGGCGCTAACCCATGTGATACATCTGTTGGGCCTAAAGATATATTCTGGTAGACCTTTTGGGGACAGCAATTTAATCTTGATACACGATTCGGGGTAAGTGATGTAAATGGCAAATGAAGTTGGGCATAAGTGCCGTATTGATGCATTTCCAGTTTTAATTGTATTAGCAAGAAGATACAGACACTTAAGAGAAATCAGAAGAAAACATTTATACGTAGGTAACATTCTGTAAAGTAGGGTGTCGGTTTTCTGTTTCTCCTCGATTAACGCGGCTGTTCTCTGCTCTACAACAGTCTCCAGATTCACAGCGTATTTTTCTAACATAAGAACCATATTGTCCACTATATTCACCTTCCTGAAAATATAACAATATACAGTATAAAACACTTTTATTAAAGCTACAAAACAGTCCTCTGATTTTTGAGGAGCAACAAAATCATTTCATATTTATTGGTTTATACAGAATTTTTCATTTTAGCTCGAATGTGTGGGGAGCTATAAACTTAAGTATAGACCACTCGGCCATGTGGCTACTACAAACTACGGTTAGCACATGAAGTCATTGAACATTTGGATATGAATGTACAATAAAGAGGGATCAAATTGACTTTTCTATAATTTATGGCAGAAATACACGTACATTAACGATACATCTATTACCCTAACAATCATAGTAAATGAATATAGGAAATTCTAACAAGAAAATAGGATTAGCTGATCCTAACACTGAAAAAAATGTATTAAAAGTAAAAACATAACAAAAGACTACTTGCTCTTAGCAAATATAGACATTTTACAAGGATTAAATTGAGTAAGGACCTACCTCCCTTCATATAATTCTCTTGTTACATATCTAATGTCTGGCATTGGCGGTCTACATTCCGGATTATCCGACCAACATTCGTTCAGTAACTGGATCATCCTCTTTCTCGTGTTGTAGCCCACTTTCCAGTCGTTCTCGATGCTGTCTTCTGCCTCGTCATTAAAATGTGAAGGACGATACGGCGGAACCTCTCGTGCTTGAACGCGTTTTATTATTTCTGCAACAAAAATATTATATTTCCTCAGGAATCATTTTGAAAAATGACATATTTCATGGCGTAGAAAAACATTTCATGTGAAACTGTGAAACAGCTCATTTGCGTACAGTGATTCATGTGAAACTGTGAAACAGCTCATTTGCGTACAGTGATTTATCATTACATGCACGTCTGTGCCATACCGTTTAAGGTACTTGAAAAACTGCACGAGTTTGTAATAAATATTTTACAAGTAAAGAATCATCCTCAATATTGGTTTATGGAATTAGTACAACAAATATTGTTTTTATGCAAAGTGTATAAAAGTTCTTGATACCTGTGTGATACTTGTATTCTAAGAAAAAACGAAAGAAAAAACACTTCCCATTTACATATTGAGAATTTTTAAAAAATATCAAAGTACCTTCTGGTGAGGTTGTAACGGTATCGTATGGACTTCGTCTGTACAGAATCTCGAACAAGACAACGCTAAACGCGTAAATATCCGCTTTTTGTGTACCCGTATGTATCTGCATGCTATTGTCTATGAGCTCCGGTGCCGTCCAAAACATACCTAAAATAAATCTGCGGAATTACCTTACCCCATTGACAGAGAGCTTAACATACAGATCATAATTCGGGCTAGTATATTCAACACAAAAAAGATATGATGGCCGTTACCTTGACAAAGGGCGACAAAATCAACTGTCGTATTGCCCTGATTGTCCAACAGCCTGTCCGAACAGAATTACATGTATTTATAAACGATATTATAATGACAAGTAAAAATGATTCAGACAAAAGCGAGTCAATGAGATTTTACCGGCCCTGCTTTAACCCATTCTTAATGGCATTAAGTATTAGCATTAGGAGGCGGGATGGATTTATGAAAATCGAGGAATATTTTCAAGATTTGATTCCATAATCATGAGACATTTATTAAAACATATGAAAAGTAACTATTCTGTTTACATAAAAAGTTTGTTTTATTAAACAAAATAAATTAATATACTATAAAAAGAACGGTTTACACCGTTATTTTATAAAACAAAAATTACAGCTGTGTATTTAGCCCTATTCAGATGTATGAAAATAGTTCCCTTGTAAATATCATAATTAATAAATTTTTGACCATACAGAAAAATAAAGGAATACGTTTTATATGAAACGGCTCATTTGCATATAATATGCACCTCATTTACATAATTATAATAAGCACGGCTGTGCCATAACATTTTAAGGTTTTTGAAAAGCTTCAAGGATATGTAATAAGTATTAATAAGTTAATGATAACCCTGAATATTTGCTAACAGAATTTAAACCACAATATGTTTTCATGCAAAGTGTGTAAAAGTTCTAAGTACCTGTATAATACTTGTATTCTGTAAGATTACGACGCCTATTTAGATTTCTCATTCTTGTAAGCCCATAATCAGTCACCTTTAGCACCCATCTGTTGTCAACTAAACAGTTGCTGCTTTTAATGTTGCCATGGTAACGTAACGGAGACGAATGAATATAGTAAAGTGCCTTCAATTAAAAAAAAGTTTGAAGACCTCTGATGAGCGTTGGCAACAATTGTAAATGCAATATGGTTTTCAGAATAGAAAAAAACACATGTGTCAGCAATCTATTTTATTCGAAGAGATGCTTCATGATATTAGCAAATTAACTCAGCTTTAGATGTGTTTTTAAAATTTCCATTAAATAAAATTCTGTATTATGTATTTAAGTACCTGTTCATAAAACCTTTTCTGAATGCCACTATTAGGGCCAATATCGATTTCACCAAAGTCCCAAAGATGCTTAGATAATCGGCTTAAATGGAATGGTTAATGCATGTGTGTGTTTTGAACTATCGTATGTCATTAGAACGAAATATTATGCCCATCTTAAGTGTAGATGGAAAGTGTACAGGGTAAAGTAAAAAAATCTTTATTTTATTTTCTCAGAATATTCTAAGAAATGTTAAATAAATCAGAAAAATAACATGCCTTGGGAGCAGTAATACTACAAGAAGATAGGTAAAAATTGCAGACCTCGTTTGATTGAGTATATTCATGAGAGGTTATAAAAGATGGAACATCACCCATACCCCCTAGCACCGTCTAATCTGTTGCTTAACATAACCTATCAATCTTACTTACATTTGTAAGGTCATTTATAAGCGAGACCTTAAACAACCAATCCAGCTTGATATCTTCATTTTCAATAATGTCCTGAAAAAAAATTGCACTAGTTATGAGATAAATTGTTTATTAAAATGACAAAATATCATGTTACAATATAGAATATGAACATTTTATATGTTGAATGTTGAAAAAATAAAATATATCTACACCCGGCCCCATGGGCTTATAAGTAACCTTGAATAATAGGCTAAAATAAGAACATGTGATCAAATGCTATGGCATATAGCTATAGTCAGCTGAACATGTTAAGATGATGAAAAATACAAATATATGCATGTATATACATGTACATGTATATTATATACATGAATGTTTATAATTACAAAGAATGTGAAATCTGAAATTAATTAATATAACTAATTTTGTCTGATCTGAAATGCCTTAACAACAAAGTTTGCCTTTTAACGAATATTGTCATATAGTAATATACAATTTCCTGTTCAGTTATGTTTACAGACATCTATATAAGCTTACATCTTCATACAGTTGTTTGTACACGTACTTGGTAATTAAGTTTATTCGAAATGTAGATTATACAGTCAAAGAACGGATAAATAATCGGCGCGACATTTTATTTTCGCTTTAAAGACACTGCTCTGAAGCAGAGACAAAACACTTTGCTGCTCGCATCGATAATCGGTCTCCTGAGAAATTATCTTACGGTTTTATCTCATTCACAAAGGAAAGGAGATTTACTTGAAAATGACAAAAATAGGAAGAAGTGAAAAAAATTGTTTCTGACCAAAAAGGGCACTAACGGAAACAAAGCTAAGCATTTATATGGTTAAAAAATTTACGCTTAATCAAAAAAAATGATATTGCGATTTAAGAGCTTTCTTGCCAAAAGTACAGAAAAAATCCCGGGAGAATGGATTTTAGGAAAATGAATTGTTATGAATTTCAAGGGCTGACAAGGCCAGAGAATTACAAAAGCTGATTAGCCCAAGAGCTGACTTGCCCAATATACAGAAAAACAAATCGGGAAATGAAGTTCAAGAAGAGCTGATTAGCCCAATATACAGAGAAAAATCCGAAAATGAATAAATTACAAGAGCTGATAAGCCCAATAAAGGAGAATGCATTTTTATTTCTGATTAGCTCAATATACAGAAAAATATCCGAAAAATGAATTACTAACTGATTAGCCCAATACACAGAAAAAAATCGGGAAAACAAATGACAAGAAGTTTAAAAAAAGTAGAATGAATGTAGATTGCTGATTATTCGAAAAAACAACAAAAATCGGAAAAAAGAATGTTTAGAACAGACTGTCCAATATGCAGAAAGAAATACCAAGCGAAATGAATGAATTTCAGGAGTAGTCGGCAGTGTGACTTAATACACCGAAAGATATCGTGAAAGAGAGCAGAGTGGCCAAATACACCAAAAATTATAGGGGAGATCCGACTCGTCAAATGTAATTCTTTCAAGAGCTGATTGGTTCAATGCACAGAAAGAAACATCGAGAAAAAGAAATGGCATAATATGCAGAATTTATCAAACACATTTACCTCAAGACTACCTTTGTTACAATATGCTGTTAGTAAACAAGGTCTGCATTCTTCAGTACACATGCCAATAAACGTGTTCACGTTCTCATTCCGTAGATCTCGCATCTACAAAATAATAAAACACCTGTTTTTAAAACTTCCCATTTTTTAAAATACTTTCCATATATCTCCCTGATAACCGCCTCCGTGGTCGAGGGGTTAGAGTCGATGACTTCTAATCCACTTACCTCTCTGGCGTGGGTTCGATCTTCGGGAGATGCTTTGGGTAGTTTAGCACGGAGCAAGGTAGTCTAGTACTAGTGTTACTCTCCGGGAACAATGGTTATTATGACTGAAATACTGTTGGAAAAAGGCGTAAAATGGAACAAACAAAGAAGCACAGACAAAAGATGTCCCTGAAAATACCAGTTCAGAAACTCTTCATTATAAAGTGCAAATTTATAACATTTTAATTACGATTACTTTCAAGATTGCACTGATTGGTTAGAAAGGTCATGGTTTCAAACGAATACATGTAAAATATATTACATTCACCCGCAACATGGACATACATTTGATTATCATCGTTATTTGCTACAAGGGTTTCACGCATTTTACACAGTTACTCTCAACGGATCAAATGAATTTCTTATATTGTTAAAACGTCAAAGTCGGCTAAATATGGAGGAATTTACAATGAAATAACCATTACTGATAATAATTATAATAATGATTAAAATCATAATAGTTTAACTTTAAAGTTCATACTACATGTAGTTCTTTTTATTTGTGTTCATCTTCAATGAAGTTCGTATATTTTTTCTATGGTCAATGTCGGTTAACATTGGAGAACTTTTACTGTGTTATTGTTAACAATGTGATCATTATAAGTTAATTATGAAGAATAGTGATACAAGTTTAACTGCAAACTACATGCTAATTACTAGTATATTTGCCGAGTGGTTAAGGTCGTTGACTTCAAATCACTTGCCCCTCACCGCTGTGGGTTCGAATCCCGACACGAATCCCGACAGGGACTTTGGATTCTTTCATGTGAGGTAGCTATCCAGCTAGCTTACGGAACGTCGGTGGTTCTACTCAGGTGCCCGTTCGTGTCTGAAATAATGCACGGAAGGGCACCTGAGGTCTTCCTCCACCAGTAAAGCTGGAACGTCGCATTATGACCTATACTGTGTCGATATGACGTAAAACCCAAAACAAACAAACAAAACAAAAAAACTAGAATATTTATTTTTGTTTCAACATCACTTCGCTTCAATGCAGTAATAAGAAGACCAGATACTTTATACTAAAGATATGCATATGTGATATTGTATTCACCGCTTTTAGTTCGTGTAAATCAGTCTGTGTTAGGGATATACACTGAGGGTTCAAACATTTGATGGCTACAACTATCCCCTTGTAGAACCCAATCTTGGAAAATAACTGGAGATTATCTGTGACATCTGATATCCGGTCACCAGCAGATTTTGACCCTGCTACGCTGCGTAGACTTAACTGAAAAATAGATTTTTTTATTAAAGATAACGTGTATTTGAGGCGCCGCCATAATGGCATTCTTTTTTTAAAATAATGACGTCAAAGTGAAAAAATCAATTCCAAATATTTCAAAATATGTTACACGGGCAGAAAAATCTGTTGCACCACATTATTCAAGGATATACATTGAAGAAAATAATAGTCTGCAAGCATTGTTCCTAAAAATAATGACTGACAGCAAATTATAATTACCCCCACTTAACAAAGATCACACCTAAAATATACTTATATGAGCCATCTTCATAAAGGCGCAGCATACTTTAGAATCCGCGCGATTCATTTAAAAATATCACTAACACACAGTGCAATCAATGGTATTCTCAAAAATTACCAAATGAACTGCCAATCATAAAGTTTCTTACTTATTTGGAGCCAACTGTCAATTTTTGAATTTTAACTTTTTCTCCTCATTTGTATGATACCGGTAGTTTACCTGACTTATACTGTTTGTGAACCGGGCCTTGGACATTCGGATATCATCGCCATTTATCGTCCACAACTTAAGTTCTACTTCCCGATCAAACTTGGCTCTCCTGACGGTAAAATCATAAGTCAATATTAAGTAAAATATAAGAATTCACATTCAAAATATTCTGTCTACCATATATCCTAAAGTTATCCAAAAGGTTGCAATTGATGTTTCCGGAACAGTGGGAGAGACTTGTGAACTTTTTTTATCGTGCATTAATTGTAAATACATTTTTACTAAGCATGCCCATTCTATATCATAATTCAGTATTATACCCGCCTATTCTGTGTTAATTAAAATACTCTGTTTGACAATGGGAAGTTATGTTATGTAGATTTAGGTGTTGGACAATAGGAAGTTACATAAATGTAGATTAAGGCGTTTGACAATCGGAAGTTATATGATGTAGATATACAAGTGTACGATAGGAAATTACAAAATGTAGATTAACATGTTTGACAAAGGGAAGGTATATTATGGATTATTAAAGTGTTTAACACTGGTAGGTTATATGATGTAGCTTAAAATGTTTGACATTTGGGAGATGTTATTATGTAGATTTGAAAATATATAGTATTATGAAATTTTGATAAAAGTTTGTCAACTGAAAACCGCCTCCGTGGTCGAGGGGTTAGAGTCGATGACTTCTAAACCATTTACCTCTCCGGCGTGAGTTCGATCCCCGGGAGATGCTTTGGTAGTTTAGCGCGGAGGAAGGGAGTCTAGTACTGGTGTAACTCTCCAGGAACGATGGTTAGGAAACTACCCGCCTATATGACTGAAATACTGTTGGGAAAAAGGCGTAAAATGAAACAAACAAACAAATATTGTCAACTGAAGTTCAAGAACTGTAGATTTTGCTGATAATGAGTCGCCATGTACAAACCTGTACCAGAGGTAGCCTGTGACACTTGCAGCTGAACCTAGGACAATGGCGACGGCAGTAAAAATAGAAATTGTTAATACCATATCTGAAAAAAATATAAATCACATAACATCAAAATTTAACTAACATAATTGGCATGAACAAAAATGAACAATTAATTTGGAACTAACTCTAACTTTTAGATTTCTGAAAGCTATAACAACAGCCTGGTGCCAGACCCGACGCCAATAAAAACAGTATTTTGTCCCAATATTTGAAAAATTGATGAAAAATTTGCCTATTATTGACCATTCTACTTCAACAGGTCATATTAATTAACAATAACATCCATGTAAAACTTTCAGAAAGGCTTACTTGATTTTTCAGGTGGGCAGTTCTCATTTAAGAACCCACATGTTGGAGTGGAAGGCGGAGCTTTACCATCTGTTGTTTCCCATACAATTTCTTTAAGAGTCTGAATTTTCTGAAACAGTAGAATTTTAACGGAATTGACATCCATAAAAAAATGCAGAATGAACTACCTTATCAACAGTTCATTTTGTCTATGAAAATAGGGCTGTATCATTAAAAGCAGACTGCCTACAGATTCATACTAATTTTCATGATTTTTTTTATTTACAATTTATTTTTTAGTACAATATTGTGAAGTGAAGAAAAAAAAGTAATTTACACTTTGCAAACGGGACTTTAATCCACGTTAATTACCAAAAAAAGGTCATAATATGCATTAATAGCCCTTACGGCGATAGTCATGATGTAAAAATATATGGCGATAAAAACTGCAAACTCTGTCATTATTAAATCGCACATAGCCTTGCATCTTTTTACTTTTCTTAAAATCTTAGTACATTTTACTAAAGTTTGATTTCCTTGAAATAGTTCTGTTCATCTGGAGGTAAGCAGGTTGAAAATTAACAGTATATTCAACAAGAAATCTAGAAATTTTATGTGGTGAAGACAATCATGGAAACTGCACCAATCTTGTATACCATGTCGCTTATTAATGCCATACATATTCAATAAACCTTTTTACAATACAATTTTTGCATAGTAACGGATGTTGCATTTCGCGCATGCGCATTCTGCGTAGGGAAATAATGTAAGCTACATTTTAGCATACTTAAAGGCTTTAATTGACGTGATTTCAAGTTATGTCATCCAGGAATGACATAAAGCGGTAAATACTGAAAACGTGAATTGATATGTACTGTAATTCTTACCTCACTATCTGCAGAAGTCAGGGATATTTCCATTGCGACATGAAATTCTGTTGCACCGGGTACCAGATCCCAGACCCAATAATCTGGTTCCCTGTCGCCATTGTCGTCAACTTTGACATTTCCTGTCATACCTATCATGGTAGAAATACATTTTTCTTAACATTTTTTTGTATTTGTATTAAAGAGGGAGCAATCCGCAGTAAAATCCATAGATTATAATCCTAACCCAAAACCTCTAACCCTAACCCATATACTAACCATTACCCAGAATACATACTCACCATAATCCTTGACCTAGCTTATCTCAATGATTTAAAGAGAAACATTAAATTAACTCTTAAATATTGAGGAAATAATTTTGTGTAAAATCTTAAAAATAGCTGCGGACATATTTTGAAGTATAGCCTGTAAAAGTTGCAAAAAGAAGATACGAAGATACATGTAAATGAAATTCTGTTGCATCCTGTAGTTTATAAGAAATTTATAAGGGCTGGTTTCCTACTGGAAAATACATTTTTAATTCATTCCAGTTTCCTGTCTCCACTACTTATATGCATGGCATACAATTTTTGTTAAAAATACATTGCTTTGCTAATGATGTTTTTAGTTTCAGGTTTGGCAAATTATGTTTACACATCTATTTTATTTTGTTGTAATTATTACCATACATATTTGTTCTGCTCACCTCGAAACGTTTTGCCCTTGGCTCTTTCAAACATGAGCGTTCCGTTCCGCGGGTTCTCGTTATTGGCGAGAGTCTCATTCAGAACGATAAGATAAAGATAAACAACGTCATGAAGAAACGCCGAATACTCCGAACCCTAAAATAAATATACTCAAAATCTGAAAATCAAAAGATATACAACATATAAAAAAATATAAACAAGGTAAAGTTACAGTTGAGATTGTTGAAATGTTTGGGAACCATTTCTTTTGTCATTCGGAAAATCATGTCGATTATCGATATTCCTTATGGAGAGACCGAAATGTTGCGAGTAACAAAATCGTTAAAAATAAATGATAAAATTCTTAATGTGTTACAAATATAAAGCTGCATTTTTAATCAAAATTAATAGACACCCTTATATTGTTATCTTTAGTGTAATTGTAGTTCCATGGTTCATGCGCCATCTTCTCGGAAACTAGGTCACGGAACGTCTCTACATCCGGTCCCGCCATTTCTGCAACACTTATCTAAAACACACAAAAAATGTACTCAACTTTGCTGAATTTTTGAAAATTTGTATCGTCTAGTATTTTTTTTATTTTAACAATTCTAAAAGAATGGAAAGACCATGTCGCATTTTGAACTTATATATGTGAAGGATCAGTGAGCTATATCAGTCAAGGAGTTTCATACATAATTTGTTTGTGACAATTTATACCAAATCGATTATTATGTTTTAGGAGGCTAGGGAATATTAGACAGATTTTCATAACTGAGTTATGTGTTATATTTTCATGTCATAATGCAGATTAATTTTCACTTAGATCATGGTCTCTGGGGCGGCCGATTCGATTTATACAATTCGCTATCTCATATGGTAAGATTAAATCACACTGATTCTAAACGTTATTCTGAATGTTGTTGTGTACTGATACCTTGGGCCTTGAGGAATCCACATGTTAATATTTCATCGATGCGTTAATAATTGATAGCTATTATCATACAAAGACCCGAAAATAAATTATTCTCTCGTTTGAAAATTTTTCTTAGTTCATTTTCAAGTTGTTCATGATATTACCTGGAATGCAGAAGTAAACGCCATTTTGGCTTCAACGTCATTATCATTTCTTGTCTTCCACGGAGTTGATATATCTTCTGGCGGCAAATGATCGGGCAAAAGGTAAACATAACTTCCGTCTGTCATACCTTTCCGGTGCGCATGTGCTAAAATTCGCCTTCTGTCAGAAGTTATCTCCGTACATAGAATAATGACTGAGAAATAAACAATCAAAAGATTAATAAAGTTTCCCTTTAAAAGGAAAGGCTTGCTCAGTTGTGCCATCATCCCATCCCTTTACATTTTTTTTTTGTTTCACTTTATTATCACAATTTTTTTGAATTACAGTATTTGTATATCATAAAGGGTTTTTTTAGTTTGTTTTTTCTCGAAAAAAAAAAGTTTCACTTTTAAAGGGATAGGTAGGGTAAGCCCAAGACTGGACGAGCACCTGTGCCCATTTGTTTGAGAACCAGTGTTATGCGTGCAAATTTGGACCAAATAGGGACCAGAAGTCCACTGATTATAACTGAACGGGAACATGCTGACGATAACAGTAGCAACTTTTTTTGTAAAAACGAATATTTTTTTGTCAAAAACGATTCGAAATCTATTCTCTATTGTATAAAACTAATAAAGAAAATAATCAATCTAAAAATACTAACATTGGCTCTCACGTGGAGATCATACTGAGGGGAAACAAGTGTGCACTAAAAAACTTCGTTACGTGGTACCAATTAATAAGCATGTATCAACTATGTTACTCCGATCACAGATATACCGACAACACAGGAGATCAGCACGTGGTAAGGTTAATGATATGCATGGGCTATTTTTAGATTACCTCACCAAGACGTTTAAACTCTGTCAGTAGATCTAAATATAACTTGGTCATGCACTAATATTCTGCGTGATTCGGTCACGATCTTTTGGTAAGCAGGACCGCCCTTTGGAGACGGAGTACTACTACAGTAACCATTCTCTATTGTATAAAACTAATAAAGACAAAAACCAATTATAAAAGAAACTAACTTTTGCGTCTTGAAAAAGAATTATAACGGAATCAAGTAAAAATAGAAATCCTATTTATATAAACAAACTGGGATTACCGAAGTAACTAAAATAGCTTAGATTTCCGCAATATTACTTCGTCTGATTCCGCAGTATGACGGAATCGCCCGAATTGTCACGATTGCAATCGGATCTACCTCGGCTATTATCATTAATCCGAAGAGTGACGGAAAGGGCCGAAAAGTTGCGATAGGCACGATTGCAGCTGGTTTCTCGTTCATTCATGCACTAACAAATGTAAGCAGGAAAACACCTAACCGGAACAATTTATCCAAAACAAATGGCAAAAGCCAAAAAAAAGCTTATAATGAAAACGGTGGTTAAAAACGTAATGACGTCGCTAGTGACGAATAATTTATACTGCTGAAAGATGTGCCAATCAGTAAAGAATATACGGTGTCCGGTAACTGTAAAGGGTCATTGCGACACACACATATAAATTCTAAACAACGAAAACACGAACTTTGATGCTGAAACGTTGTGTCGTTGTTTCGAGTTACGTGTGTATCGCGATGACCATAACCACCGTAAAAATAATATCTTGTGAAAAAAATAATCGTCTTATTTTACAGCGGCTACGTAAAAGAAAAGTACCTGTCTGAAAGAAAACATTTTTGAAATATAATTTAAATTCTGAATAATGTCTCTTGTAAGGAGCAATGATAGTTTTTCTATATTTAGATATGTCGGACGGACGACTTGAAAAGCAGATTATTATTTAATTGAAAAATGTCGTCTGCAACTGCTGATATTTAAATTGTTAACTCACTTCTAGCCCGCTGTTTCGCTCTGCTTAGAACGATGTCTATTTGTCCATCTGCTATATCAGCCTCTATTGGTATGAAATCAACTATTTTTATATCATTCTCACTGAACGCTGTTTCTACTGATCTCGTGGAATAATCACAGAAAACATGTCTCTGGCTACTCTTACGTTTCGAAATTATCACAACTTGTGTCCAGTTATAATGTTTGAACAGTTCAACAAACGCTTTGCCCATTTTTATTAAATGGCGGACCTAGACGAACCAATGT